TGGTCCCGGCCGCGCAGCAGGCAGCCTCCGGGAAGGGCCAGTGGGTCGGGCCTAGGTAGTAGGTGAGCCACAGCGTCAGTGTGAGCATGAAGAGCACGTCGGCCATGGCCAGGTTGAGCAGGTGGAGACGCAGGGCCTGGCCCAGGCGCCTGCCGCGGCGGACGAACACTGCCAGGGCCGCCACGTTGGCCGGCAGCCCCAGGCCCGGCGCCAAGGCGTAGGCTGTGGGCACCACAATGAAGCCAGCAGGGTCACCCCAGGGGCTGCGGCCACCAGCACCAACACCCAGGTCCCCAGCGCTGCTGTTCATCTCGGACCTTGGGCTAGCAAGAGGAAGAGAGGTCACCATGGAGGTTAGCCATACAAGAGCCCTCCATCCCGCCTTCCCCCACCCGACCCCCGTCCTCTTTTCCTCAGTCGGTGGTGGTGGGAAGCCCGGCGAGGGGCTGAGGCCTGAGCACAGCCAGCACCAGCTGGGGATGGAGAGGAGGGGATGGGCTCCAGAGTTATCTGAAGTAGAATGAGCTTGGTGACAACATGTAGAAAATGAGGAAGAGACAGGAATCCCAGGTAGTTTGGAAATTTCCAACCCTGGTGACTGGGAGGGTGAAGGTGTCCCTCACAGATGGTGTACGGTTCTGATTTGTGGTGCCCAGGTATGTGCATTAATAAGCCTAAGCAAGGCTGAGCCAACAGGGAGTTATGGAGAAACCAGGCTGGAATATAGGGTCCTTCCTAGAAAAAGCCCAAGCCTCCCTGCTCCAGTGCCATCCAGATCAGTAGGGGGGAGAGTGAGGCATGGATAGAGTTATGGACTTAGGATGCAGTGACCCAGAGGCAGGCCCATGCACAGTGACCTTGGACTTACCTTGGTGAAGGTCCTCTCCTGGGGCTTGCCTGGAGCACCCTGGGCAGAGCTGAAAAGGTTTCACATCTCACAGGCCTTCCAGTCTTGTTTCCTTCCCCCTTGCCTTTTGACCACAAAGAGGTCCTGGGTCTGATTTAAAACTTTGGACAGCAAATCAAAAAGAGCACAGACCCGGGAATCAGGCAGATCCTAGATACACACATTTATCTGCCATATGACCTCGGGCAGATTACTCAGCTTCACTGAGCCTGTCTTCTCTGCTGTAAAATGGAGATTAAAACACCTACCTCACAGTGTTGTTGGGGGGATTATGAGAAAACATAAGTAAAACTCTGAGCACTGGCTGACACTGGGGAGACACGCTCCCTTCCCCTCTAGGCAGCACAGAGATAAATGTGTACACTCACACAGGCACACACACAGCGTTAGAGACACGGACACCCCAGTCAAACACAACAGCACAAACACATCTGGGCATATTCCCCCTCTCCCCAAGGGGGATAAGTGCACAAGCCAATGTCCTGTTCCTATTTGTGGCACATAGTCACACTCCTAGGGTGTTCCAAAACATGGTTCCTCCAATACCAAAATTTGTACTTCCACCTTTGAATCTCTCAGGCTCCAGTCCTTTCTGGGACCCTGAGTGAGTGTATTCCCTTCTGCCCCTCGCGCTCAGCTCGGCCCACCATGGCTCTGGCCCTAACCATCCCACCCTGAACCTCTCCCCACCTTCCCACCAGATCACTCCTCTCTTACCTCTTGCTGCTCTGGCTGCTGCAGATCTCTTTGGGTTCCTGGGGGCCTGGGTTTAAGGAGCTGAGACAGATCAGAATCCACTGCCACCCACATATCCTAGGCCCTCCCATCAACTGACTAATCCCCAGACACGACATGAAGAATGGGCTCAACAGCTGGAAGGGCTGGAGTCCACCTGTGGCAGCTGTGAGCAGGGTTTGTGGGGTGCAGCCAGGGCCCCAAGGGAAGGGAATGTCATTGCAAGGCAAGGGGGCACAGGGAGGGAGATAGCAAAGTATAAGGAAGGCCTCGCAGCTGAATGTCATTGTGCCGACCTGACCAAGCCTTAGGCTGTGGTTTGGGGGGCCCGTTTCCTAAGGCCTGGCTTCTCCTTGGGGTGAGGCAGCACAGCTAAAGCTGAAGATACTCCTGCTGCTGTCAATCCCAACTGCTCCTCCATACCAGCTGGCCAGCCTACTCTTCCAGCACCCTGCCTTTCCTGAAGCTGCTGGGTGGGCCCTACAGCCAAGCTTGAAGGGCCCTGTAGCTGCTAAATCAGCTTACAGGCCAAGCCTCGGTAAATAGGAGCCTTCAATCTAATACCAGCTGTGTGAGGTTTTACTCAAAGTCCTGGTTGGAGACAAGCTGGCTATGGAATCCTGGAAGGGGTGGAGATGGTAAGAGGCCAAGATCCCAGGGTTTCCAGGCTCTACTTTCAAGGGCTTCAAAATTTTCATGCAGAAGGGCAATTCTGGGAAGCAATGGAGATTTAATTACATTGAACCGATCGTCCCATCTACCTTCAAGTTGAAGAGCAGGGGTGCCACACCTGCCCACTTCCAACTTTGGCAACTGGTGCAGTGTAAAGTGTGGGTTCTGGAGTCAACCAGGTCTTAATTCTAGTCTCAGGTCTGACACATAGGCACTTAAGCTTTCTGAATCCATTTTCTCATCTGCAGAACTGCTATTTAATAACAAACACTATTTAATAATAGCGTTTACTGAGCACTTATTATGTACCAGGCACTATTGTAAACACTTTAACTCACTAAATCTTCACAGCAACTCTATGAAAATATTTGCCATTATTATCCATATTTGCAAATAAGCTAATAAGTGGCACTATCTACTCTCTCCCTTCTTCTTTGCTGACCACTTGACCAGTGTGGGTAAATCTTAACTTGTCTAAGTCCAACTTGGAAATTCCATTCTCCTTGCCAGTGATTGGTCTAAGAATGGAAATGTGACATAATTCTGTACAGTGGGATGCAAGGGGAAACCTAGGGTCTTCTAAGAGAGCTTTCCTCTTTCTTTTCACCTTTGGATATTATGTGCAAATGTGTTGTCTGGAGCTGCTTCAGCTATTTTGTAACCCTGAGGGCAGAAGGCAATAAATTGAAAGCAGCACAACTACTGAGCCTGCGCTCTAGATCCCACGAGCCACAACTACGGAGCCTGTGAGCCACAACTACTGAAGCCCAGGCGCCCAGAGCCCGTGCTCCACAACAAAAGAAGCCACCACGATAAGAAGTCCGCACACCGCAACGAAGAGTAGCCCCCACTCGCTGCAACTAGAGAAAGCCCACGCACAGCAACGAAGACCCAATGCAGAGAAAAATAAATAAATTTATTTTTTTTAAAAAAAGAAACTGAAGCTATGTTATCTCTGGACCTCTTATGTGACAGAAAGTTTCCTTATTGTTTTGACACACTGTACATGTAGTATACATATACTACTACATATATATGTATTAATATACATATATATGTATACACACATACACACACACACACACACACACACACACACCCCTAACTATAGAGAGATTGCATCACTGTGCTTTCAGACACAAGAAGACCTAACTAAGAGTGCTAGCTTACCTGAGGTTCCCAGCTCGTCAGTGTCAGAGCAGAAATTACCCTTCTATAGTGAAGATGAAATGGAGTAAATACATAGACTTCTCTCACTCCTGTGGGCTCCCAAAAGCCATTCCCTAACCCCCAAAGCAATTTGTAGGCTGGTGGCTAGAGTATTTGCATAAATAAATGATTTCTTTTTCTTCACTATTTTCCCTTATGGAGGTACATCACTTCCCAAAAGAACCCCACTGAGGTGAAGATGGTTGGTGATGTGATAGTAGGTACCCTAACATGGTCACTTGCCCTCGAGAATTGTCTCTCACACACACCCTTCTGACTCCCTAGGACCTCTGGGATTCATCACAGGTTCTGGCACTGCTTTAACATGCAGCATGCCTTAGAGTTGGCTGTCCCCTGCCTCCATCTAGGTGTCCAAGGAGCACTTCCCTGGCAGTTTCAGGTCCTGTAAAATGACTTAATGCCCATCTCTGTTAGCTTTACAACTCTCAAGTGCACAAGATAAAAAGGAATGGGAGGGGGCTTCCCTGGTGGCACAGTGGTTGAGAGTCTGCCTGCCAATGCAGGGGACACAGGTTCTAGCCCTGGTCTGGGAGGATCCCACATGCCACAGAGTGACTGGGGCCGTGAGCCACAACTGCTGAGCCTGCGCATCTGGAGCCTGTGCTCCGCAACAAGAGAGGCCGCGACAGTGAGAGGCCCGCGCACTGCGATGAAGAGTGGCCCCCGCTTGCCGCAACTGGAGAAAGCCCTTGCGCAGAAACGAGGACCCAACACAGCCAAAAGTAAATTAATTAATTAAAAAAAGGAATGGGAGGGACGTCCCTGGTGGTACAGTGGTTAAGAATCTGCCTGCCAATGCAGCGGACACAGGTTCAATTCGTGGTCCAGGAAGATCCCACATGCTGTGGAGCAACTAAGCCCGTGAGACACAACTACGGAGCCCCCATGCCACAACTACTGAAGCCCACACGCCCTAGAGCCCACGCACTCTAGGGCCCACATGCCGCAACTACTAAGCCTGCGTGCTCCAACTACTGAAGCCCGTGCGCCTAGAGCCTGTGCTCCGCAACAAGAAGCCACCGCAATGAGAAGCCCGTGCACCACAACAAAGAGTAGCTTCCGCTCACCACAACTAGAGAAAGACCGCGTGCAGCAACAAAGACCCAACGCAGCCAAAAACAAATAAAATTTAAAAGAAAAAAAAAGAATGGGGAGTACCTCACGTGGCTCAGCAGGCAGAAGCAGGTATACTCAGTACTCTGCTGTACTCGATGTGTAAATTCTGAGCATATAATAAAAACCTTAAAAACGTGCATGCCTTTTGAATCAGCACCCTCACTTCTAGGGAAAGAAAATAAATATGCAGAGATGATTAACTGTGAGGTTTACAATAGTTAAAAAATTGGGAATAATCCAAATGTTTCTCATTGGGGGCTTGTATAGATACATTACAGTACATCCTTACAATGGAATACTACGCACCCATTAACATCAATGAGGTAAAACAGACAGAGAATGGTATTACAGTGTATTAGGTTTAAAAAGCAGATAATAAAGTAGTATATATGGTCTCATTTTCATTTAAAAAAATCTGTATAAAGCCACAGAAAAAAACTGGGAGGTACAGTTATACAAAGGAATTGAAAGTAGTTATTTGGGGGCATTAAAAGTTTGGGTGATTTAAATTTATTTTCTATTTTCACATGACATGAGGAATGCTAGAATATGTAACGTGTACCCCTCAAAAAAGAGCAGTAAATGTCCAAGAGACAAAGCAGAGCCAGGTAGACCAGATGTCTACTTCAACGCTGGCCAACCTTGGGTGTACTGGTAACAAGGTGACACTCTGTGTTCCACCATGTTCCTGCTTTGGCAGTGACATGGCATGAGGAGGCAAGACAGACTCTACTCCCAGGATTCCTTGAATGCACTTGGAGACTTCCTCCTAGGGTGTCTGAACATCTTTTTAGTTTGGACTAAGAGCTAGCAGATATCCAGCAGCAGCAGGAGCCCCAGGCAGACGATGGCTGGGATGCAGGTGTTCAGTGATTCTTTCAGAGACACCAAAGTGAAGATAGCCCCTGGAATGGAAAATGAGGTCCCTGAGGCTCCCTGGGAATGCTCAGGAGATCCAGGAGCTCAGGGCCCTCCAGCCAAGGCTGACCCACTCCACCTTAAGCCCTCTCTTGAACACTGCCCCCCACCAACACACACACACCCTAAACTAGCTACACTCATCTCTCTGACCTCCCAGAGAAAGCAGAACCAGAAATCAGAAGTTTCTTGAACTAACGTAGACCCTCTCAGATGGCAAGAAACAGCAACAATCCAACCAAACAGGGCAAGGTGAGTAGGTGGGCATTTTGGAACAGATTCTCCCTGATCCTTCTCCTTTCTCAATCCTAGTGGAGGGAAGAAGGCCCAGGGATTGGTGGTGGAGGTAGTGGGAAAGATCTGAAAATGAAGGAAGCTGTGGAAATGGAAAGAAAGCCTGGAAGAAGGGTGGTAGTGGCAGCAGCAATGGTGACACAAGGCCAGGGGACATAGAAGAGCCTGAAGATGTCTGGCCTTTGAAGCAGCAGCTGTCTGTGGGCAGAGCCACTAAGAGGGGGCCCTCTAGGAATGCCTGCCCCAGGGAAATCCTCTGCCTTTCTGGTCAGGGGGCCCGGCTTCCTTGCTCTCTGTTTCCACCTGCCAGACACATGAGTCCAGTGGCGGCTGCTACTCCATCCCCTCATCTCAGGGTAGAGGTAATGAGAAAGGGGTAGGGGCTTTTAGGTTACAGTATATCCTTATAATGGAAATACCATGCAGCCAATAGAATTGATGACATAGAAGGTATATCTGACATAGAAGAGGGTTATAGTATATTAAGTTTAAAAAGCACCTAGCCTAGTCTGAAGACCATGGAAACTGCAATAGAGCAGGAAATGCTTCTGGTTCCAGAGGAAAAGAGTGGCAAAAGTAACAAGAAGAGTCAGACTTTTTGCTATCACCCTCGCCTAGAAGTCCCCATTTCACCAGCCCAGTTGCACCCCCCTTACCCATCATGAGCAGTGTCAAAAGCAAGTTGCTGATCTCTTGAAGCATCGGTGGGCCCAGGACCAGCAGCAACCCAGCTAGCAGTTCCAGCCAGCCCACAGCCACTTGGTAGCTCATGGGATCTGGCTGGTAGCCGAACACCTTCAGCGGAAACACCTCAGCGAACTGCACGAACAGGGCTTTCTAGGGGCGGCAGGGAATGCCTGTCAGCCAGAGTCACCAAGGATCCACTGCCCAGATGCTCCACAGAGGCATTCTGTGCCAGTGCCCTCAACTCCCCCAGCAAAGGAGATACTACTCTAGGCCAGGTCCAGGGCTAAGGTCAGCCAGCCTGGAAAGGAGACGGCCTCCCTGGGGGGCTGAGCTTTGGAATCAGAAAACAGGCTTTACGCTCCAAGAAGGGTGGGATGGTGGTACAGAGATGGACTGATCTTCTCACCAGATTACGACCCAGCCCCAAATTCCGGGAAGAGGAAGCTAGGCTTGGGCTTTCTCATCTAGTGCCAAGGCCTTGGGAACTCCGGCGCTTCTCTTTCTGTTTGGCCTGGTTTCTCTTCAGGCTACTATGCAGGGAATATTTGGTGAGGAGGAAGGGAATGGAAGGGGAGATTCTCGTTCATTAAACAGATTCTACTCAATACCATATGCTGGGACCTGGCTCTCATTGCAGTAGACAGAAGGGGAGTTGAGGGGGTCAAAGTGAGTGACTCAGCTCGCTCGCTAAGTCAAGCTCCGTCCTGGGCCACATGACAACTTCACCTGGACCCTTAGGTTGGCTACCTTTGCTGGCTCTCCCACCTCAGCTCTACCTCCCCTACTCAGTGCTCTAAGGAAGAAACTCTAAGCTGTCCGGTTCTGAGGATGTACTTCCCCAAACAACCCCCCACCCTAAGCCAGGCCTGGAAGAAGGAAACTGGCAGAGATCTAGAAGTCTGGCTTATTTGAGGGACTGGGCAGATTGGTGGGTAGAAGGACGTGACAGCTTTTCGGAGAGTCTGGAACTAGACAGGAAGTCGAAGGGCGACTTCTAGGCCTCCCTCTCAGGCTCTGGGAAGGGCTCTCTGGATTCTAAGTTAGGAGAGTATCTATAAAGTTTGGGTCCTGCTTCTTGACTAGTTGTGTAACCTTTAGCAGATACACTTCACCTTCAGGGCAGGTTTCCTACTCTGACAAGCCGGGATTAATAACCCCCTGTCTCATGAACACCCCCAAGAACTCAAGCAAAGGAAGGAGGGCGCAAAGGGAGCTCGGTCCCTCTCCCTCCCCAAGGGTCCCAGAGTATTCCTCATCGGCTCTAGATTTGCCTGAGGCCAAAAATGCCCGAATGGAAGGGAATGTGACCGTCCCCTTCCAGGGAAAATCCAGTGAACTCGGAGGAACTCCCCAGGCAGGGGCCCACGCCTAAGTAGCTGTCCAGGTGCTCCCCCCAGCTCTAGCGCCGTCTGGCCCGAAGACAGGCGGGTCCGCGGGGCGCGGGCGGGCAGGGAGGGGCGGGGGCCGGCCAGGCACCTGGGTAACGGCCGGGGTCGCAGCCCCCGCCGCCCTGCGGCCAGTCCCCCGCCCAACCGTCCGCCGCCCACCCCGCGCCGCTCACCATCTGCTCTGACACCGGAGCCGAGATCTGCTCCGAGAGTTTGGCCGCCCCCGTGAGCGCGAAGAAGCCGCCCAACAGGACGCGCAGAACTGCGAGCGGGAGCGCCATGGCCGCGCAGGCCTCCGCGACGCGCCCGCCTCAGGGTAGGCCCCGCCGAAAACCCGCCCCCTGCCGCCCGTCCGTTTCCTCCCTCCCGGGGCGGCCGGAAGACCTGCGCCAGAGCCGCCGCTCCTCGCCCCCAAGGGGGTTGCCGCCCTCTTTTGGGCCAGCACCGGCTGAGGGAGGAGACGGTGCTTGGGCAGGGCAGCCCCATCTCACAGACGGGGATACTGAGGCCCACTTGCTCTTAACTAAACGGGCCCCTCCGAATTCAGGGAAAGTCTCCCAGCTAGTATGGACAGAGTAGAATCAAACATGGGTATATGGACGTGACGTGCAGAAGAGCTCTGTTATGGTCAAAAGACGTTGCGCGGCGGGGGGTAGGGGGGGTAGGGGAGGAGGGAGTCGCTCCTGCCCTTGCCACACTAGCTTGGCGATCTGAGCTGTCACCTAACCTCTGCGGGCCTCAGTGGCGTCTGCATCTGTAAATGGGGATAATGCCGTTATCAGTTCCGAGCCTAGAGCAGGCCTAGCAGAACGCCTGGCACATGTAAGAACTCAGAATTATTTGTAAATTAGTAAATTTATGAAATTATTAAGAATAAATCAATAACTAGTAATTTTAAAATAAGTTGTTCTTTTCTATCATTGCCTGAAACGTATTTTCCCTCTAATATCTCTCAGCTGAAATTAAAATGGGAAAGGTGTTTGAAAATTCAGGTTCTTACAGCCATGGGTAGAGAGGCTTTCACTGAACAAAACCCTACAGGCCACTCCTGGCCCATCTGCTTTTACCTGGAAATCTATCTAGACCTGGATGAGAAAACTATGACAAATTCAGAAAGCGCTCTGGTTTTACTCCCTTCCCCTCCCTCAGCTAACAATGTTTGTTTGTTTACATTTTGTAATAAAAATTTTTAAGGCAGCTTTCATGACACATGAAAATTATATGAAATTCGTGTTTCAGTGTTCATAAATAAGTTCATAAACTGTGGTTTATTGAACCACACTTTGCGTATTGTCTACCGCTTTTGTGCTGCAACAGCAGAATTGAGTAGTTCCCACCTTACAGCCTGCGAAGCCTAAAATATTCATTACCCAGCCTTTTACGAAAAAGGTTTGCCAAGGCCTGGTCTAGAGAGCCAGAGAGGCCCCTAACAGGGGTCTCAAACTCTCCTGCTGCTTCCACTTCCTGATAGCCGAGCTGCTTGGATCTTTGTTTTCTACCTACCCACAACCTGCTGGGTAAGTAGCCAGCAGGCCGAAGACTGAAATGTCCTATGTGCTTCTAAAGACCAAGCAGTTTCAACATCCAGGTGTGCTAGCTATTACATTATAAACTGGGCCTTTCATTACCTACATCTTTGTCACTAATCCAAATTATCTGATCAGTCAATAAAATAGCTAAGTTCTCTACCTTGGACTATTATATATAATTATGTATAAATGCATAATTATTAAATTCCTCAATGAAAAGAGAAAAATTATTAAAACACTTATTTAATCACCGAGAACACACATCCACATTAGGAATTTATATTTTAGGATACTTATCTCATACAAAATTTAACACAAAAGTATAGACTTTGATAATAAGCAATATGCACATTACTATTCTTTCTCCTTTACTAATTTTTCTATCCTCGGAATTAAAGATGTGACTGCAAGTCGTAGGGCAGGGCCAGAAACCAACAGATTTCTTTGTTTTGACTCAGTCAAAGCTGAAAATGTAGCATCACATAAATAAATAGTTGAAAAAGGCAATAAAAATTTCAGTGCCTTTTCATGGAGTTCTGGGTAACTTGCCTTTGCATTTATCCAAAACTGAGTTACAGACATTGATTTAAATACTGATTGTAATCCTAAATCTGACGATAACCGTGCTAGTTTTTCTTCTTCGAAGTCCGTGAGATTACTATTTTGGTGATTCATAAAAGGATTAATTATCCACAAATTTCCTGAACACAAGTCTTCTTCTGGTGGGTAACAGTCATTGAGCATTTGAGAAAGTCCTTCCAGGTGCTCAAAAATAATGCTTGCAATACTGCTCATATTTAAGCCTGATGAGTTTGAGAATTCAGAAAATGAAGGGAACATGTCATAATCATTCTCTTGCATGCGCTTCAACCACATTTTTAACTTTTTCTTAAGTATATCGATTTTATTATACAAATTGAAGAGAGTAGTCATAGATCCTTGGAGACTTAAATTTAGTTCATTTATAAGTGAAAAAATATCTGATAAGTAGGCCAGCTTTGCAACCCATTCCTCATCAAAAAAATACTTGGCCAAATCTGAATGGTTTTGATTTAAAAATATTTCAATTTCATGTCGTAATTCAAATAATCTTGTTAAAATTCTCCCTCTTGATATCCAACGTACTTCAGCATGAAGTGGTAAATTCACGTGCTCAGACCCCATCTCTTCACACAAAATTGTTAACATTCGTGAATTCAACGCATTGCTCTTTATAAAACTTAAAATTTGTGCTGACTGCATAAGAATTTCATGTAAGCACGGAGACAACTTTTCTGCTGCTAAATGTTCACGGTGAATAAAACAATGTGTAAATGCCACTGTATTCATGGCAACTTCTTGAATTTTTGCCCTTAAACCAGAACACCTACCAGTCATGCTTGCAGCCCCATCTGTACAGAGACCAACACAATGCTTCCAGTTCAGAGATTTACTATCAATATATTTATTTATTAGTTCAAATATTTCAAAACCAGTCATCTGAGAAGGCATTTCAATGCAACATAGTAATTCTTCTTTTATATCACTACAACCATAATCAATGAAACGAATATAGCACAAAAGAAGGGTGGTATTTGAGATTTCTAATGACTCATCTATCTGAAGGGCAAACCACTTTGACTCTCTGACTTTCTGGATCAGCTGATCTTCAATGTCTGCAGATAGTTCATCAATCCTGTGTCCAATTGTACTATTAGAAAGAGGAATGGTTTTCATTTTGTCTCCAGCACTGGAACCCAAAACTTCTGAACACATTTCTACTAAATATGGTTTAACTACTTCTTCAGCAATGGAAAATGGCTTTTTGCTGGCAGCAATTTGGAAAGCAATTAAATAAGAAGCTTTCACAAGTGACTTTTCAACTAGTAAACACTTTTTTAGAGCACTGTTTTGACATTCCATTTCAAGAGATTTTTGTTCAAAAAAATCTACTGGTTTGTTTTCTAATTCTGAATGCTTTGTCTTCAAATGATGAGAAAGATTTGCTGGCTTCATGTTTTCACTGGATAAAATTTCTCCACAGATGACACACTGTGGCCTTGGTGAGCTTTCTTTTGATCCCGGACAGATAATAAAACCAACTTTTAAATATTCCACATCGTAAGTCTGGAAAAAACCTATTCTTTTTTTCTTTGCAGGTGGAGAATCAAGTTCCACATCATTTTTCTCGTTAGGCATAGATAAATCTGAATGAAATATTTGAATCACTGTTATTTTCAAGAACAAATAAGCAATGTTCTTTATGTTTTTCCCCCACGTTTAAAATTTATATTTTGTTACTATTTATATTTGTCAAAAGCATACAGTAATTAAGGTTTAAACACAAACCATAATATTTCCATGATGCCATTAAAAACTGAATTTCTTGGGACTTCCCTAGTGCTCCAGTGGGTAAGACTCCACACTCCCAATGCAGGGGGCCAGAGTTCGATCCCTGGTCAGGGAACTAGATCCCGCATGCATGCCGCAACTAAGAGTCCACATGAGGCAACTAAGAAGGCTGCAGGCAACAACTAAAAGTCCACATGCCGCAACTAAGAAGCCCGCATGCCACAAATATAAGTCCGCATGCCGCAACTAAAAGATCCCGCATACTGCAACGAAGACTAAGACCCGGTGCAGCCTAAATAAATAAATAAATATTTTTAAAAAACAAAAAACTGAATTTCTCTTTGCCCAAAGCTTGGTCACTGACTGTAGTAAAACTGTAGGCAGTGGTATGTGTCCTAGCAGTGCCATGTATTCAGTAGATTAGTGGAATTAGGGCTGATGTCCACAGAATACACCAAGTTAAGAGTAAACTATTTTAGGGACTTCCCTGGTGGCTCAGTGGTTAAGAATCCGCCTGCCAATGCAGGGGACATGGGTTTAAGCCCTGGTCCGGGAGGATCCCACATGCTGCGGAGCAACTAAGCCCATGCGCCACAACTACTGAGCCTGCGCTCTAGAGCCCCCAAGCCACAACTACTAAGCCTGCGTGCCACAACTACTTAAGCCCACGCACCTAGAGCCCGTGCTCCACAACAAGAGAAGCCACCGCAATGAGAAGCCCACGCACCACAATGAAGAGTAGCCCGCACTCACCGCAACTAGAGAAAGCCTGTGTGCAGCAACAAAGACCCAACGCAGCCAAAAATTAATTAACACCAAAAAAAAAGAATATACTATTTTACTTTTTAAAATATGGGGAAAAAAAAACTGAGAGGAGAAAAAAATTTGGCAAAAAGTTAACATTTGGTGAATCTAGATGAAGGGTATATTCATTATGTATATTCATCTAAGGGTGTACATTGTGCTTTATTTTCAATCTTTCTGAATTCTGAATTTTTCAAAATTAAAGTTGAGGGGAAGGGGGTTAATTATTAATTTTAATACCCAGTGTCAGTGAAGGTGTAGAGAAATGGATGCTCTCAAACATTACTGATTGGAGCATAAATTCATATAACTTTTCAGGAGGGCAATTTTGCAATACATATCAAAATCTAAGCCTTAATATTCTATGAGAGCTTTTGAATCAGTAATTCCACTACTTAGGATTTATCCTAAGGACATAATTAGACAAGTGGAGAAAGATCCATTTATACAGCTTAACTCAATACTATTTATAATATTAAAAAACTAGAAGCAATCTAATGTCAACCTTAGGTGGATGGATATACATTATATATATCCATACATTATATACATTGGAATCTATGCATCCATTAAGAATCTCAACGTATATTTAAATTTACGTTGATGTGGAATGATGTTTTCGTGCAATGTCAAGTGAAAAAGTAGTTTACAACAGTATACAGAAAACATCCTAATACTTAATCTAGAAATTCAAAAATGTATAAGCACACACATACCCACATATATAGCTGTCCACAGATCCCTTACTACCTTCCACATGTGAATGTGTATTTAATATAAATTCATGTAAACAAAGAGTGTATCATTTTTACAGGAATATAAAACAATCAAATTTACTGAGGAAGGAAAACAGAATTCTCCTTGACTCCTACCAAAAGAAAGGCATCCTACATAAAAACTCATGGTTAGCTGTTGACAGACTAAGCTTTTACTTTCATGTTTTGGCTGCGCCGCACAGCACATGTGGGATCTCAGTTCCCCAACCAGGGAACGAACCCGCACCCCCCCGCACTAGAAGCGCAGTCTTAACCACTGGACCACCAGGGAAGTCCCCAGACTAAGCTTTTAAATATATTCTATGAAGTAAAAGTAGCATTAAAAACAAAAATCAAAAAATGTTTTGGGCAGAGCAGCCTATAAAAGTAACTGAAAACATAAGGGTAGTGGGATTAAAAGCAGTTAACATGGATTGGGGCAAGAGTATACAATATTTTCAAGTATGAATTCAAATAATTTTCCTAATCACCAATACCTCAGACATATAGTTATACTCTTAGTAAGTCAATTCAGTGTTTAAAAAAAGAACCAAGGTTAAATCACTAATACTTTAAACTAAATTCGTATCTTAGTAATTATAATAGCCTGTCTATACATTTGAAAAGCAGTGCACATGTACAGAAGATGCTTGTCCACTCTACACATAATGCTTTGCGTGCATATGGATTCAATTCAGTAGTTATTAGTGTTAATGACAATAAATACAAAAGGAATCAATTAGATGTTCAAAGTATGTGATCCAAGAATTGTTTTCACATTTAAGAAATTGTCAATGACTTTCTTTTCCTTTCTTAAAAAATCAAAAACAAGCACACAAAACAGAAAACAAACTTACTACATGTGGAAAGCACAACAACACATACCTGTCTGACATTCCTTGTGTTGTGTATGTGGTTTGCAAGAGGTGGCCTTGGTCTGTGTGACGGGTTTGCACAATAATGCTTTGTTCTTTAAAAGCTTCAAAGACTGGGAAGACAGAAGTTTCATGGCATCTGTCTGTGTACTTCCCTAGTTAAAAAAATCCAGAAACCAGAGAGATTTTTTTTTAGTACCTTCTCACTGACTAATATTGCTATCAGTTGAAAGGTGACATATATCAAGAGAAATATAATTCTCTAAAAGAGTGGTACAAGAAAGTTGCTTTGGAAAATATATACTAATTCCTAATTCTTCAATCAGTATCAGTACCATTTATTGATTTAAAAAAAATACTCTGCCAATAATAAGTACAATCAAAACAAAGAAAACAATCTGATTAGGACAATTGGCTATTCAGAAAACTTAGATCCAAATTCAGACCATATGCAAAAAAATATTCCACATCGATTAAAGACCTCAACGTGAAAAAAATAAAACTTTAAAATCAATGGAGAATTTTCAAATAACCAGAACTCAGAGGAAGTATTCTTAAATAAAACACAAAAGAGTTAAAAATAAAGTAGAAAAGGTTGATACAACTGACCACCTTGAAGTTTTAAACTTTTGCAAACAAAGGTCTTAAAGGGTGAAGGATAAACAACAGAGTGGGAGAATGTATTTAAAACATGTTCTTTCACTCAGTAAACATTTACTGAACGTTTACGACAAGCCAGGCACTGTCCTTAGACCTGGGCATACAGCAGAAAACAAGACAAAGTCCTGCTCTTATGGGCCTTACCTTCTAGAGGGAGACACAGAATATAAACAAGTAAAACAAATACATAATGTATAATTCCAGGTAGTAATAACTGCTATGAAAGAAATAAAGCAGGATAAGGGAATGGAGAGTGACAGCGTGGAGCAGAGGTAATTCTGGAGTAAACATTTGAGCAAAGACCTTATGAATATTCAAAAGAGCACGCCATGCAATGCCTGAGGTCAGAGGATTCCAGGCAGAGGGACTGAGATGCAAAAGACCTGAAGTGGGAAAGAGCGTGACATGCTTAAGGAACATCAACAAGAACAAGGCTGAAATAAAGTTAAGCCAGGGCTAAAATGATACATTTGGAAAGGTCGGCAGAAGCCAACTTGTATAGGACCTGGAAGGTCTTAGTAAAAAAAAAAACAGAAAATTAGGATTGTACTTTAAGCATGATGGGAAACCACCGAACGGTACACAGCAGCCTCCCTCATCTGCAGTTTTGCTTTCCTTCGTTTCAGTTACCCATGGTCAACTGCAGTCTGAAACTATTAAATGGAAAACTCCAGAAATAAACAATTCATAAGTTTTAAATTGTACACCATTCTGAGTAGCACTATGGAATCTCTTGCTGTCCCATTCTGTCCTGCCCAGGAAGTTAACCATCCCTTTGTCCAGCGTATCCTGCCCATTAGTCATTTAGTAGCCACCTTGGTTGTCAGCTTGATTGCCGTGGTATCACAGTGCTTCTAGTCAAGTAACCCTTATTTTATTTCATAATGGCCCCAAAGTGCAAGAGCAGTGATGCTGGCAATTCAGATATGCCGAAGAAAAGCCCTAAACTGTGTCCTTCAAGTGCAAAGGGAAAAGCTTAACACTTCATCACAACGCCTATGTTTTTCACCTCACTTCATCACCTCATATCACCACCACAAAGGTGAATACAGTACAATAAGGTATTTTGAGACAGAGATCACATTCATATAACTTTTATTATAGTATACTGTTATAATTGTTCTATTTTGTTATTGTTGTTAATCTCTTACTGTGCCTAATTTATAAATTAAACTTTATCATAGATATGTATGTATAGGAAAAACATAGTGTATATATAGGGTTCGGTACTGCCCATGGTTTCAGGCATCCACTGGGGGTCTTGGAACGTATCCCCCACGGATAAGGGAGTACTACTGTTATTTAAATTTACTTTTTAAATAGGTGACAGAGGCAGTAATTTTGAATGATGTAACAATTCAAAAGGTATAAAAGTGTATACATGAAAAGTTAAGTTTTCCACACCTGTCTGCCATCTATCCAGACTCAGTCTTGAACACACTGTTCCCAGTTTCATATACATCCTTCTAGAGATGGGCTATGTAATTAAATAAGTTGCTTTTGACTACACATGGTAGCATATTATTAGCAAGGCTCAGCACCTTGCTTTGCCACTTAGCGAACTATCTTGGAGGTATTTTCATAAAACTTTATACAAAGCTGCCTAGTAACAGCTTTATACACTGAATGTACTTGTAATGTAATTTGAAGAGTCCCTGCTGCTAAACATTTAAATGTTACAAATCTTTTGCTATTACAAACAATGCTACAATAAATATCCTTACATACAAATTGATTCTTCATGTGCTAGTATATCCGTAGACCAAGGTCTTTCTCTTTTCCTGCAAAAGCTTTCTTGTTTCCATTGGGTCCATGGCTTGGGAGAGGGCTCCAGCGTGGTTAAAAAGCTGCCTAGTGGCTGCAGGAAGAGGCTCAGACAGAAGCCCTGACACCGGGGGATAACAGAGGGGCCCCTCAAAGGCAGCTGGGCTGGAGGCTCCTAGCCCTTCTTGAGTTGAGGGTGGCCCCCTCAAAGATATACTCGCCCAGCCCAGCCTAACACCAGCCAGTGTGTCAGGTGGTGGCCCATCTTCTTTATGAGTTTCATCTCCTCATCTATGAAGTGATTCTCCAGGACGTCACAGAGATGGGGGTCTGCACAGGCAGAACCAGGGTATGAAGATCCAAAAGGGCCTGGTTCAGGCTCTTCTCCACAATCATGGTGGCTTCCATGGCATCCAGGGTTTTACCCCACTCATCTTGGGACAGTTTCTGCACACCCTGGAAGAGGATACAGCCACTGCGCTGGTTTTGCATCTTCAGGAGACTCGGAAGAAGTGGCCCACACTCTCCAGAGCCACATGACCATGGCGGAAATGGACGCTCAGAGAGTGGTACGTGTAGGAGGCCAGCAGAGGCAGGCTGACCAGGCGATTAACGGAGGCCTCCACCTTGGTGGAATAATTCTGACCAGTCTGGGAGTTCTTGGTTGACTGGCAGTAAGGACGATGAATGTGCAAAATATACCTGAAAGATAAATTCTTAAAATTGTGGAGTTCCTGGGTAAAACGGTATTTATGTTTTAAATTTTAATAGGTTTTACTAAATTGCCCTCTGTAGCAGTTTTACCAACTGCCATTGGCAATATGTAAAAATGCCTTAACAGTGTAATTCATCATTTTTATCTTTGCCATCTGATAAAACTGTAGTTCTAAATGGCATTTCTCTAATCTTGAAGTTGAATTATGTTTGCATGTGTTTAAGAACTATTATTTCCTGGTCTGTAAACTGATGGATCATACTTTTGCCCATGTTCCTAATGGGTGTTGGGTCTTCTTAGTGACTCACAGAAACTCTCTACATATGGAAAAAAATAGCCTTTTATGGCATAAATTGCAACCTTGTTTTTTTCATGTGTCTTTCATGTGTAGTTGAATTTTCCTTACAAATCTTTTATGGCTTTTGGGTTCTGTGACATATTTAGAAAGACTTTCCCCACTTCCGCACTAAAATTCTTTCCTATACTTTTTCCTAGTACTTTCATTATTTTTTAAAACTTAAAACTTTTCTCCATCTAGACATCATTTTGGTTTAAGAGGTAGAAATCTAACTGTATTTTCTTCCATATGTCTACTTAGTTGTCACAACACTATTTACTGAATAATCTAGATCTCTCCTACTGATCTGAACTGCCACCTAGTTTGTTTCTAAATTCGCATATATATATATATATATATTTAGGTCTATTTCCAGACTTCTTTTCTATTGAGCTGTCTATCCACGGCTTCTTGTTGTTTCAACTATGTAGCCTTATAAAATTTGTTGTATAACTGATTCACTTTGCTGTACACCTGAAACTAACACAACCTTATAAATCAACTATATGCCAATAAAAATTTAAAAAACATTTTTTTTAATTTGTAGTTATCCTATAGTTTTGGGAACTAGCTCTTCCCCTTCTCTATTCTTTTTTCAGAATTTCACTGAAGGTTTTTAAAGCACTGGAGTGACAATCTGATTTGCATTTTAAGATGATCATTCTGGCAATACTGTGGAGAAAAAAACTGCAAAGGGCAAAAATGGAAGGAGGAAGACAAGTAGGAGGTCACTGCAATGCAGAAGAAAGGTGATGGTGGCTCAGACTAAGAAGACAGCAACAGGAGTGATAAGAAGGAACACTGGAGAGGAAGTGTGGGGGAAATAAAACAGCTCTGCTTTATTTGAGATGGCTATTCACAATCTAAGAGTAAATGTCAAGCAAGCAGTTGGATGGATACGTGAATCTAGAGCTCAGAGGTCAAGGCAAGAGAAATAAATCTGGTAATCAGCCACCATCTAGGTGGTTTAAAACCACAGGACTATAATGAGTCCCCTACAAAGAAATGTAGATTGACAAAAGGAACAAATGATTGACCTAGAAGTTGAAGAAGGTATTTCAAGGAATGAAGGAGAGATCAACTGTATCAAATGTTACTGAAAGGATGAGTAGAATAAGAACTGAAAATTGACCACTGGATTTGGCAAAATAAACACTGATGGAGATCTTGACAAGAATAGTTTCAGTGGAGTGGTGCAGACAAAAGCCTGACTAGAGTGAGCTAAGGGAAGATAACAGATAAGGAAATGGTGGCAGCAAGTAGAGGCCACACTTAGAGGAGTTTTTCCAAAATGGAGAGCAGAGAAATGGGACAGTAGCTGAAAGGTCATGGTGTTAAAGAAGGATTTTTTTCAGGTAGGAAAGATTACTGCATGTTTTTGTGTTGGTAAAAATTATAAGTAGAAAGGAAGGCAAATCCAGAATATATAAAGAAACCCAGGACTTCCCTGGTGCAGTGGTTAAGAATCTGCCTGCCAATGCACGGGACACGGGTTCAAGCCCTGGTCCAGGAAGATCCCACATGCCGCAGAGCAACTAAGCCCATGCACCACAACTACTGAGCCCACAAGCCAGAACTACTGAGCCCTGCGTGCAGCAATGAAAACCCAATGCAGCAAAAACTAAATAAATAAAAATAAATTTATATTAAAAAAAAAGAAATCCATAAGAAAAAGACAAACACAAATATGGGGAAAAATTAAAAACAGGAAATTCAAAGAAAATTCAAATGTTCAAAAACAGAAATATAAGCAAACACACTAGTAATCAGTGACATGTAAAATAAAACAAGATATTACTAAACAGACTGGCAAAAAAAAAAGTTTAAATCTGACAACATAAAATAACAATAAGGCTGTGGGAAATGAGTACAAAAATAAACTGCTCGTGGGAATGAAAACTGGACAGCCACTCTATAGGGAAATTTGAAAACTAAAAATGCAAATGCACTTTGTTGCCAAAATTCCATAATTCCACGTATACACTAGACAAACACCTGCACACGTGCGCAAGGAGACGCAGAGTGTCCACTGTAGCAGATATTTTTGATAGTGAAGCAATCTAATGTTTATCAATAGGCAATAGATAAATAAAATATGGTACCTATATACAATATTATACAGCAGCAATAGGAATGTACCAAATCTATTAAATATCACATGGATATTTTAAAAAATAACATTAATTATTTTCCATGGATGTGTATATATGAATGTGAAAGATTAAAAATGGTCTGAAAGGACACACACCAAACTCAGAACAGTAGTTGCATCTAGGGTTGTGAAAAAGGACTGAAGGTAGTGATTCATTTTTTAAAAAGGAGAAAAAAGGGAGGGTAGAAGAAAAAACAAAAAAACTGTGAGCTAATAAGCCAAATCTATCAATGGTTAATTCTGGATGGAGGGAATACAGTAGAACAGGGAGTTGGCAAAATATGGTTCATGGGCCCACCGCCTGTGTTTGTAAATAAAGTTTTACTGTTCCAGTGTTTTACTCACTCATGTATTGTCTATGGCTACTTCTGCACTACAATGGCAGAGGTGAGGAGTTGTAACAGAGACTGTATGCCCTGCAAAGTCTAAATATTTACTCTCTAGACCTTTATGGAAAAAGTTTGCTGACATTTGCAGTATATTCTCTTCTTTGCACTTCCCTGTATCTCACCTTTCCCCCAAATTTAAGACCACTTAAATAACCTGAAGAGATTCAGACCAAAGTCCCAGAGAAACAAAGAAAAAATTCTAAAACTGTCAGGTTTTTTTTTTAATCATAAAAATACTACATTATTTATTATTATACTTTTTATAGACTAAACTGAAAATATTAATCAGAACTATTCTGTAACATAGTTTAAATGATTGGTGAATTACAGAAATACTCCACATAGGGAAAACATATATAGGGCAGTCACATTTAATATGAGGGATATGTTCCTGAAAATCCTGAATAATTCAAAACCAACATAATTCAAGACTAATTGTCCCATACATATAAAGTAGAGGAGGGATGCATTATCAGAGTCATAAGCCTATAACCAATATAGAATATTTTTATAATACATATTAATAATACTTATTAATATAAGGTACATTAACAATGATTCATTATACAGTTAGGCAGTTAATAACAAAATTATTAATTCTACAACATGGTGATCTATTAATAATGTAATTTTAAGATATAACTTAATGTACAATACATAGCACACATATAGACACAAAATTAACTTAATGATAGTTCATTAACTAATGTAGTATACTGCCTGAAAATAATTAAGTAGAGTTATCACCATCTTCCAACAACACTAATAATGGGAGAGTTAAGAGATATCGAACTAAGTAGGATAAACTATCTCTCCACATTATGGTGAAAGCTGGTCTGATTCCCTGGAAGACTTTTGCTAAAGAATGAATCTAATGAATCTAACGTGGTTTGGTTTTTTTTCTCATTTTTTCTTTTTTCACTGAGGATTTCTTGATATGCAGACACACTGTCCGTCTTTCGCCTTGCCACTATGGAACCGCAATCCACATTTGGATCATCTTCAAATATAGCAACTGGTTGCTGAAATATGGTCAAAAGTCTATGCCAGTCACTTCACTGCTAGTTGATGTGTTAAAGGCCCAGCCTAATTGCTGGGGCCCTCTTCCTGCTACCTTTGTTTTTCTAATTCTAGCAAGTCTTCCTTTATTAATCCCTGGGCAACAACCCAAGCAAAATTTCAACATTCCTTTCAACAACCTTGCACAAATTTACCTTCTTTACCATTTTCATAGCTTTTTTTTAAAAATTAATTCATTTAGTTTTGGCCGTGTTGGGTCCTCGTTGCTGCACACGGGCTTTCTCTAGTTGTGGCGAGCAGGGGCTACTTTGTTGCGGTGCGCAGGCTTCTCATTGCAGTGGCTACTCTTGTTGCGGAACACCGGCTACAGGTGAGAGGGCTTCAGTAGTTGTGGCTCATGGGCTCTAGAGTGCAGGCTCAGCAGTTGTGGCTCACGGGCTTAGCTGCTCCACGGCATGTGGGATCTTCCCAGACCAGGGATTGAACAAATGTCCCCTGCACTGGCAGGCGGATTCTTAACCAGTGCACCACCAGGGAAGTCCCTTATAGCTTCTTTATTAGCAGATGTTATGGTGTCTTCCAAGTTAAAGCCTCTTTAAATTCTGGTAAAGCTGAAATGTTTTGATAGCTTCAGTGTTAGCAGATATAGCTGGCCTGCTCATTTTTATATTCTTAAAACCTTGGTGGGCTTTAAAATTGGAAAGCCAGCCATGATTTGCAGTAAACCTTTTTGTCTCAGTGTTGCCTCCTTTCAAATCATCAAAAATACTTCATGCCATAGCACAGATGATAGCTTGGCCTTAGGGACGCGTTATGGCAGCACTGATTTTGCAGCTGTGTTGCCAGGATTTCTTCCATTTATTCCATTATCCTTGCCTGGTTACAAGATAATTTTGTGAACTAAAGAATGTACCTGCTTTAATACTGCTTTGGGGTTTTTTGAGCATTATTTCTAATACTCTGCAGGGTGCACTCTCCTAAATTAACAGCATGAGATATCATAGCAATGGTCTGGCCTTCTTCACAAAGTTTTATCACATCTAACTTCTGCTCCAAATTTAGAATTTGGGGCACACTTTTTAGTATAGCAACACCACTTAATGAACCTGAATGACACTGTCATATCAATATTTAAAAAAAGATTTGAATTGTATCAAAAGCAAATGTTAAGAGAGCAACACAACAGTCACTGAAAACATTAACTCAAGATCTGACACATTAGGTTCATGTGATATTGATAAAGGATGATAGGAATTTTGTTTTCCTGCTAAAGTGATGCTGACATAGGACAACAATGAGATAGTCTGCAATTCTTTCAGCCTGCCAGATTTGAAATTATATATTTCTTTAAATTTTTTTTTAATCTTGGGAAATTTCACAATGAAGTGGGAATTTAAATATATTTTTATTTTGCACTATTTTCAGGCTCACATACTTCAAAGATGCATAAAACAACAATATACTGAACTTTTTCAAGAGACCTTCTAGTGTAAAAGAAAAATACCTGAATGTAGTAAAAGAGAAAAATAAGCAACCAGACGGAATTAACAAGTATTTAAAGAAACTAAGGAACCAGAACACAAACAATAAAATCAGGAATGCATTCTTATTAATGATCTAACTTTAAGATTCAAAAACAAAAATCAGTGTATAATATATTACTCTACTTTTTAGAAAGACTAAGCAGCAAATAGACATGAACTCAGACATACATTAGAAGGCTATATCCAAAATGAAACTAAACCCAAGGGGCATTAATCAGGAAAATATTTAATAAAACTTACATCTTCAATGATCTTTGCTGCCTCTTTAGTATTAACTGCACCTGTTATGAATTAAAACATACATTATCCCTAGAATAACATTATCCCTAGAATATACAGAAGTAAACACTGAAACCAAGAAGTTACTTTCCTCTTGCTAAGATGGTCCACAGCCTAGTCCAGAATTTCTCAAAAAATGGTACAAGGAAACTTGGCATCAATACTACCTGGGGTGCTTGGTAAAGGTAGAGATTCCTGGGCCTAATCCCATCCTACTGTATTAGAATCTCCGAAGGTAAAGGCAGCGATATTAAAATCAATTGGGAGATTGGGACTGACATATATACACTAATATGTATAAAATGGATAACTAATAAGAACCTGCTGTATAAAAAAATAAATAAAATAAAATTCAAAAAAAGGGCTTCCCTGGTGGCACAGTGGTTGAGAGTCCGCCTGCCGATGCAGGGGACATGGGTTCGTGCCCCGGTCCGGGAAGATCCCACATGCCGCGGAGCGGCTGAGCCCGTGAGCCATGGCCGGTGAGCCTGCGCGTCCGGAGCCTGTGCTCCACAACGGGAGAGGCCACAACAGTGAGAGGCTCGTGTACTGCACAAAAAAAAAAAAAAAAAAAAAAATCAAAAAAAAGAGAAAAATAAATAAATAAATAGAATCAACTGGGTTCTTAAAAAAATAAACTATACATGTCACTTCCTTCCCTATACATGCCACCCTGCTTGCTACCCACTTCCCTCAGAGACAGAGGGGCATGTTTCCTCATATAAACATATATGTAAACATTACCAATAAGAGCTATTTACCCTAGACAACACTCACCTCTACAGTCTACCCAAATGCCTTTACATCAAGTCATACCTTTTAAAACAACATTCTCTGTGAGCTGGGCAGGAGATATTTTTGCCAATGACACCACATTGGTTATAACTGGTATTGTATTTGTCCTTGCAGAAGGGAGCTCCACTGAAGCAGTTTGTGCCTTAGAAATATTTACTGATTAAAATAGACAAAAAGGTAAGACCTAGTATAAACAAAAGGATCACACACACACATTAAAGAAACCCTGTTTAACAGCTAAGTTTCAAGGTACAATGCAAATATCTAACTCTGTATAGTGTTGGGTTGGGTGATTCTGTTCAGATTAGTGTTCATTAGGACTTAAAGGGTACCTGATTCTCTAAAATTATAAACTTCAACTGATACTTAATAGTTGAAAATACAGGTATCAGCTTCAGGATTAACCAGACTTTTCCATTAGTGAATACTAAAATTCCTACACCTAAGCTTGATTCAAATAAAAATTTAACATGCTAATTTTTATAAGTAAGTTGGTGATGTAGCTGTCCATCCACATAAAAACAGTGACTTTGTTAACCCACATTATACAATAAAAATTCTACCACCACCCTGACTGGTCTTACGGAATGAATGATAACACAAAAGATTAGTGCAAGGCATATGTGATTAAGGTGATGATTAATAAGACTGCAAAGGCAGACAAAGGCCAGACTTTAACGTCAAAGCACAGGAATTCTGTCAATTCAGCAGCACGCCAGGCTTTGAGGAGAGAACATAACATCAGATGTTTTTAGTCTAACTCAGAGAAGTGCTACTTCAGAGAGCTACTTTCAGAACATGCCACATATCTATTCATCTGGATATTCTGGCCACATTAGCTGTCCTACTTGCAAAATTATTTTATTCTTAGCCAGGAAAAACTTCGCTACCTGTGAAGAACTGGTCTACTTTATTTTTTCTGATATAATTAATGTGTTGTTCTTTTTTCCTTGGCTACACGCAAGCTCTGGATCAAATCTGACACCAGTCACAGCAACCATATTAACATACTTATATCCTCTTCCTTTGTTTGCCCTGATGTTCTGTTTTTATTTCTGGTTTATTAACTGAATAGCATATATCCCTTAGTGTAAGTTACTTACGTACAGATAAGTCAGTCAAAAGCAATCAAATCTAATTTTCCTACAAAATCAGTGCTTATATGTTTATTGATTCCTTGGTGTGTTTGATTTTGATAACAAAAGGCATCAGGATTAATTTTCCCTCAAGAGCAATCTTTAAGAATTCTTACAGGAAAATTTAAGGAAATTCAGGCTATTTGACTCCAGTGAAATTTGTTTTATTATATTATTTACAACTGTGTGTGCTGATAGTAACTTAGGACTGACATAAAGACCCCCTTAGCCAAGTTTAACTTTACCTTTATTTTGTGACAGAGGGTCATTCATAATTTGCTGACGATGACAAAACTCCATGACACAAAATAGGTTACAGAAATGTTTGATGTTTCCTCGCCATTTTATGGACTCACTTAGCTTACCCTGTCGTTTACAACCATCACACTTGGCCATCTGAGAAAGAAATGTAAAACAGGATAGGCTTAAAACTGTAAAATAATGAAAATATAACACTAATCATAAAATCAGAGGAACCATGAAAACAGGATACATGAGTCAGTTGAGATCACAAAATGTAAGGTTTCTACCTTAAGACACCGTACTTAAAAATACATACACTATTTGTTTTGTATAGATGTCCTCAACTGAGAGGATATAAAAGTTATCTCCTGTTTTCAAAATTACTGATGAAGGAATTTAAAGATAGGCTTTTTTTTTTTTTTTAACGTTAAGAGGTAGCCTACTGCAGTATAAAGAATATGGGCTTTGGAGTCATAAAGATTTTGACTCATTCAACAAATATCTAACTAGATATCCTTCGTCTTGAGCATTGAGATAGGTCTTGGTCATATAATTATGAAAAAGACCCCCAAAGAAAGTTATATGTTAGGAATGTAGACAAGTAAACAGGTGATTTCACTGGAATGTTACAGGTGCTGTCCATCACCTACCAGCTTCTTCAGGGGCACATTACTTAACCTCCCTGGACCTTACTTTTTTTCCTTATTTATAAACAGGTAATACTATACCTACCTGTTAGGATTGTGGTGAGGAGTAAATGAAATAACACTTATGAAGTACTGGACATGTATTAGTGGTTCAATTAATTATAGCTTTCGTTGTTAGCCTTTCAAAAAAAAATTTTTTTTAAAGAAGGCAGGTGAGGGGTAAGGAGGTCAGAGTCATTTGTCCTATGAAGTGAGAACAAGGTCTGACTTCAAATTTCTCAGAGTAACTTTCTGAATGAGAGAGCAACTTAAGGCAACATAACTATGTAAAGTTCTAACTAAAAAAAACCCAAAGTTATAAATAAGGTCCATGTGCCTTATAAGAAAGCAAAAATTAAAGGAACATATCTTCAAACAACAACAAAGTCTCCCAAAATCCTATACTCTTTTTTAATTTTTTCTTATTTATTTATTCTTTTTAATTCTATACTCTTTACCCCAAAGATTTCATGTTTATATTCAATTGAATTTTGCTTTAGGAGCCCATAATTTATTTACCCAATTCTAAACACCCAATTTTTCTTCACATAATCTGAATATATTTCAAATAGAAAATAATTTGTACGAACTTCAGAAAGCCAAAGAGATATATTACATTTACCTGATAAAATAGAACAGTAAATTTGGTCATGCAGTCTTCACAACAAAACTCTTCTAATTTGCCCTCCAATCGATTTTCTACCAAATTAGGGGACGTCTGTGAACAATAACTGCACATCTTACAGTAGTTTCCCCATCGTTCTCCAAAGTCACGGGCAGAGAGGAATTTGCAAACTGAGAACCAGAGGGATAAAAGCAAGAAACATCAAGTTTATATAAACTTGAAGACAGTAAAGTGAGTTTCTACAGTCTTAGATAGCAACTTTAAGCTAATTTCTAAATACTTGACACAATTATTTGCCTCTAGGTTAAAAGACAGTCTTATCTATATTCACAAAACAAACATATCACTTTTGAAACATATACTCTAAATATTAGGTCGTTTATATTCAGAAACATCAGAGGTATTGGGTTGGCCAAAAAGTGTCTTCAGTTTTTAAGTAAAAATAAAAGACACATTTTTCATTTTCACCAAGAACTTCATTGAACAACGTATTCACCCTTTTGTTCCACTACCTTCTGCCATTTTTCAGGCAACTTCATAATTCCATCTTCACAAAACTTTTTTATCTTTTTGAGCAAAGAACTGTTCAGGTGCCTTTTACTGTCTTCCAGGGAATTGAAATTTTTCCCATTAAAAGAATTTTGTAAAGAACAAAATAAAAGGAAATCCGAAGGTGCAATGTCTGGTGAATACAGTGGATGAATCAAAACTTCCCAGCCAAGTTGTAACAGTTTTTGCCGGGTCATCAAAGAAACATGCGGTCTTGCATTATCCTGATGGAAGGTTATGCGTTTTCTGTTGACTAATTCTAGACACTTTTCATCAAGTGCTGCTTTCAGTTGGTCTAACTGGAAGCAGTACTTGTTGGAATTAATCGTTTGGTTTTCCAGAAGGAGCTCATAATAGAGGGTTCCCTTCCAATGTCACCATATACACAACATCACCTTCTTTGGATGAAGACTGGTCTTTGGTGTGGTTGGTGGTGGTTCGTTTTGCTTGTCCTACGGTCTCTTCCATTCCACATTACTGTACAGTATCCACTTTTCGTCACCCGTCACAATTTGTTTTAAAAATGGAACACTGGGACTTCCCTAGTGGTGCAGTGGTTAAGAATCTGCCTGCCAAGGCAGGGGACACAGGTTCGAGCCCTGGTCTGGGAAGATCCCACATATCATGGGGCAACTAAGCCCATGCGTCACAACTACTGAACCTGCTCTCTAGAGCCCGTGAGCCACAACAACTGAAGCCCACGTGCCTAGAGCCCGTGCTCCGCAGCAAAGACAAGCCAGTGCAATGAGAAGCCTACGTACCGCAACGAAGAGTAGCCCCTGCTCACCACAACTAGAGAAAGCCCGCGCACAGCAACAAAGACCCAACGCAGACAAAAATAAGTAAATAAATAAATTTATTTTTAAAAAAAGAGAGAAAAAAGCCAAGTTCAAAAAAACAAAACAAGGGCTTCCCTGGTGGCGCAGTGGTTGAGAGTCCGCCTGCCGATGCAGGGGACACAGGTTCGTGTCCCAGTCCGGGAAGATCCCACATGCTGCGGAGCGGCTGGGCCCGTGAGCCATGGCTGCTGAGCCTGCGCGTCCGGAGCCTGTGCTCCGCAACGGGAGAGGCCACAACAGTGAGAGGCCCGCGTACCGCAAAAAACAAACAAACAAACAAACAAAAAAAAGAACGTCTTCCTTACGTTTAAGTAGAGAATTGCATGCGGAAATACAGTCAAGGTTTTTTTCCGCTTAACTTACGTGGAACCCAAACATCAAAGCGATTAACGTAAGCAACGTGGTGCAAATGATTTTCAGTGCTTGATTTGGATATTTTGAGTATGTCAGCTGTCTCCCACGTGGTATAACGTTGATTGTTCTCAATGTCTCAATTTGATCACTATCAACTTCAACTGGTCTACCCAACCGTGGAGCATCGTCCAGAGAGAAATCTCCAGCACGAATCTCGCAAACCACTTCTGACACATTCGATCAGTCACAGCACCTTCTCCATACACTGCGCAAATCTCCTTTTTGTGTTTCAGTTGCATTTTTACCTTCCTTGAAATAATAAAGCATAATATGCCAAAAATGCTTTTTTTCTTCCATCTTCAATATTAAAATGGCTACATAAAAATTCACCAATTTTTTAAATTTTTGCCCGTGTCGGATCTTAGTTGTGGTACACAGAATCTTCGTTGAGGCATGCGAGATCTTCTCGTTGCAGCACGCAGGCTTCTCTCCAGTTGTGGCATGCGGGTTTTCTCTTCTCTAGTTGTGGCACACAGGCTCCAGGGCACGTGGGCTCTGTAGTTTGCGGCACACAGCCTCTCTAGTTGAGGTGCGCAAGCTCAGTAGTTGTGGCGCATGGGCTTAGTTGCCCCGTGGCACGTGGAATCTTAGTTCCCTGATCAGGAATCAAACCTGTGCCCCCTGCGTTGAAAGGTGGATTCTTTACTACTAGACTACCAGGGAAGTCCCCCAAAATTCACCAATTTTGATAAATCTTTTTTTAAATGCACGCTGATATGACAGCTGTCACATACAATCTAACAAAATTGTTTCGAATGAAGTTAAAGAAAACTAAGTGCTACTAGAGCCATCATACAGAAAAAAACGAAGCAACCTTTTGGCCAACCCAATATAAAAGTTTCTTAAGCCAAGAAGCAGTAATTGCCTAAGTACCCTCTTTATGAATGGGTGCAAAAACAAAAAGATCTCTGAAGTCATAGCTAAACTTACGAAGAGATTTTCTATATACGAATACCATTGACCTAATTATATTTTGAAAGTTTTTCTTTATTGAGATTATTATAACATTTAAAAGGATAGACTTTAAAGTGAATTAAGTATAAACTCAATAAAAAAGCTTCAAATTATACTTCATAAAAGAAATTACTTGAAAATTAATTGTGGATTAACAGCTCAACTCATCATGAATTACTTCATAACAACCATATGCTCTGTGGCCAAAACTGAGCTTTTTTCTTTACCTTCACTACAGAATGGCTTATCAACCCCTGAGAATCGTACAGTCTCCTTTATAATTTTCTGCAGTTTACAGTAGTCACACATTGCCATAACTTTATTTCTCTTTTTGTATTCATCAGAGCAAATCTTGCCACAAAACAGAAACATTTTACCCTGCAGAGGAAGAACAGTCATTAATATCTAATTAAATTAAACAGTTGCTTTATTGTTAAGAAATCCTTTTCTTTCTCATTTCAAAGCAAACCAAGGGACTGTCAAAGATGAAAAGACAAAAATACTTCTTTAGATAAACTCATATTCAATCCCTTCCACGACCTCTCTTTACCTTGTAGAAAAGAAGTTCTGGTTTTGTGGCAAACAGATGGTTACAGTGCTGACACTTGAGTTTAACAACTGTATGGGTTAAAGCAACTTGCTGGGACTGAGCAGAAGGAGGCTGGAGACTGGCTGCGGCAGAGCCACTGACGGAGCTGGGGGAAACGGCAGAGGTGTTACCTCCTCCTGCTGACACTGCTGACCCAGAGGGTGGACTTACAACCACTTGGCCCTGAGACAAGGGCACTGCTGAAGAGTTTGTTCCTTTTGGCTTGTTAAATACATTCTGAATGAATACAAATAAGGCAAAGATTTTATCAACTGAGAAATAAGGTAACTTGATCAATTTCATTTTCTCATTTTAATAAATTAATTCCCCCCAAACGTTTCTTGAAAATTTTATTGAGTAGTTCACAGAAAGAGTTGAAATGGCATGCTTCCAGAATAGGACTGAGAAATGCAACATTAAAAGATTGAGGACTAAAATTCAGGCTTTCCAGACAAAGATCTCTAGTACATGACTAATTAATAAATTAGAGCAGGCCTCTCCTTTCCCCCAAGATACCCCTTCACCTGCACTCCCATTACCAACCAGCCTCTCATGGCTATTAAGAGCACAGTGGCCACCAGTAGTCTCTTTCTCCCTGGTGCAGGCATCTTCCCACCCAGGAGGATGGGAAACTCTACCCTTTCCCTGTGTATCAGAGAGAAGAGAAATGGGACAAGTAAGTGGAAGCTTCCATATCCACGCCAGGAGTCATTATGTATCTGGCCCAGGATGAAACGAAGGGACACATGAGCACATCACCATGCCACCTATCCAAACCATAGCCTAGCTTCCATTCTTTTGAAAGGGAGAGAGCCAAGGGAGAAAGCGGGAGAGAAAGGTAGTTTAGGTGAGCACTCTGAATTAAGAAGGACTGAGGGTCAAATCTTGGGCTCAGACATTTTGCAGAAATGACCTCTTGGATCACAGCTGAATAGAATTTTTTTCTTTCTAACTTAATAAGCATGGTCCTTCAGCAGTTAACATTTGCCACAGACCAACGCCTAAGAGAACTGCAAGGGCAAAGTACTACCTTAGGTCATACCTGGAAAGCCACCACACAACTGGAGCTGCAGAAGCTGTATATAGTTCCATTGGACATGGCTAGGTGATACTGAGGGACTGCTGAGGTCTTACAACTATGACACAAAACCTGGACACCTTGGTAGCAAAAAATAAAAACCAATGAGTAAGTTACACAGATGAACAAATGATCCAAAAATGTATTAGGAGAGTAAAAAACCCAAATATTCAGTAATATGCAAAACAAAAATGAAGGAACTTTACAATAATATGTAAAGCTAACCTCAATTAAGTCCCACTTACGCAAAAATTAACTTGGAACTTATACACGTTTTTTCTCTCTTTTCACATATGAAATTACAAAATAAACACTTCAATCAAGAGAATCACTGAAAAACTTTGTCACGTAAAAATCAGCTCTTGGGCTTCCCTGGTGGCGCAGTGGTTGAGAGTCCGCCTGCCGATGCAGGGGACGCGGGTTCGTGCCCCGGTCCGGGAAGATCCCACATGCCGCGGAGCGGCTGGGCCCGTGAGCCATGGCCGCTGAGCCTGTGTGTCCGGAGCCTGTGCTCCGCAACGGGAAAGGCCACGACAGTGAGAGGCCCGCGTACCACAAAAAAAAAAAAAAAAAAAAAAAATCAGCTCTTTGTGGGACTTCCCTGGTGGTCCAGTGGTTAAGAATCCGCCTTCCAATGCAGGGAACATGGGTTTGGTCCCTGGTGGGGGAACTAAGATCCCACATGCCACGGGGCAACTAAGCCCGTGCACCACAACTACTCAGCCCGTGTGCCACAACTACTCAGCCCGTGTGCCACAACTAGAGAGAAGCCCGCGCACCACCACAAAATATCTCACATGCCGCAACTAAGACCCGATGCAGCCTAAAATAAATTAATTACTTAAAAAAAAATACTGCATGGATCCTTCAAAGAAAATAAAAATAAAAATCAGCTCTTTGAAACTAAAATAACCTTGGGTCTTTATTTAACCACATAGATCAGTTTAGTTTGTAACGAAGTGAAAGAAAAGCAGTCACATTCTTCTTTAATAGTTATGAAATCTATAAATTTATCAAACTTAAACATTACCTGAAGAAATAACTGTCTTAACTCTGTAAGCAGATAAGCAATTAATAGAGCAGAAAAGCTCTGTTTTTCCTGAGTCGTTCGTAGTCTCAATCATTTCAGCTGAGGGCCTCAATGATTTCCCCAAGGCATATGGAGGAGTTTGGGCTGAATTCTATTAAAATAAAATAAGATTTAGATACCTAGTACAAGCACACGTATATATATATGGTTTAAGGAAAGAAAAAGAAAAGCTACCTACAACCAAAGGCTTTGGCTAAAATATTTGAGCATGACAATGATAGCAGCTACACTAAGTACAGACTTTCCTAAAAGTTGGGATGTAGGAAAAATAAGTTCTTTCAGACAATAATACAAGCATACCTCATTTTATTGTGCTTCACTTTATTATGCTTTGCAGATACTGCATTTTTTACAAACTGAAGATCTGTGGCAACCCTGTGTCAAGCAAGTCTATCAGCGCCATTTTTCCAACAGCATTTGCTCGCTGTGTCACATTTTGGTAATTCCCGCAATATTTCAAAATTTTTCATTATTATTGTATATTTTATGGTGATCTGTAATCAGTGATCTTACCATTGTAACTATTTTGGGGCGCCATAAACCACTCCCACTTAAGACTAGCTAAATTGATAAACGTTGTATGTGTTCTGACTGCTCCACTGACCGGCTATTTCCCATCTCTCTCCCTCTCCTCAGCCCTCCCTATTCCCTGAGACACAACAATATTGAAATTAGGCCAGTTAATAACCCTACAATGGTCTCTAGGTAGTCAAGTGAAAGGAACAGTTACACATTTCTCACTTCAAATCAAAAGCCAGAAATGATTAAACTTAGTGAGGAAGGCATGTGGAAAGCTAAGAGAGGCCTAAAGCTAGGCCTCTTGTGCCAGTTAGCCAAGCTGTAAATGGAAAGGAGAAGTTCTTGAAGGAAATTAAAAGTGCTACTCCAGTGGAGACACAAATGATAAGAAAGCAAAACAGTCTTACTGCTGATATGGATAAAGTTTTAGTGTCTGGACAGAAGATCAAACCAGCCACAATATTCCCTTAAGCCAAAGCCTAATCCAAAGCAAGGCCCTACCTCTCTTCAATTCTATGAAGGCTGAGACAGATGAGGAAGCTGCAGAAGAAAAGTCTGAAGGTGGCAGAGGCTGGTTCATGAGTTTTAAGGAAAGAAGCCATCTCTAAAACATCGAAGTACAAGGTGAAGCAGCAAGTGCTGATGCAGAAGCTACAGGTTATTCAGAAGATCTAGCTAAGATAACTAATGAAGGTGGCTGCATTAAACAACAGATTTTCAATGCAGATGAAATAGCCTTCCATTGGAAGAAGATTCCATCTAGGACTTTCATGCTAGAGAGAAGTCAATGCCTGGCTTCAAAGCTTCAAGGACAGGCCAACTCTCTTGTTAGGGGCTACTGCACCTGGTGACTAAGTTGAAGCCAATGCTCATTTATTATTCTAAAAATCCTAGGGCCCTTAAGAATTACGCTAAATCTACTCTGCCTGTGTTCTATAAATGGAAGAACAATGCCTAGATAACAGCACATCTGCTGACAACACGGTTTACTGAATATTTTAAGCCCACTGTTGAGACCTACTCCTCAGAAGAAAAGATTCCTTTCAAAATATTATTGCTCACTGACAATGCATCTGGTCACCCAAGAGCTCTGATGGAGATGTACAATGATATTAATGTTGTTTTCACACCTGCTAACAAATCACCCATTCTGCAGCCCATGGATCAAAGAGTAATTTTGACTTTCAAGTCTTATTATTTAAGAAATACATTTCGTAACGCTATTGCTGCCATACATAGTGGTTCTTCTGATAGAGCTGGACAAAGTAAATTAAAAGCCTTCTGGAAAAGATTCACCATTCTAGACGACATTAAAAGCATAAGTGATTCATGGGAAGAGGTCAAAATATCTACATTAACAGGAGTTTAGAAGAAGTTGACTCCAACTTTCATGGATGACTTTGAGGGGTTTAAGACGTCAGTGAATAAAGTAACTGCAGGTTGGTGGAAATAGCAAGAGGACAAGAATTAGAGGTGAAGCCCGAAAGATGTGACTCAATTTCCACAATCTCAGGACAAAACTTTAATGAACAAGGAGTTGCTTCTTCCGGCTGAGCAAAAACAAGTGGTGTCTTGAGATGGAATCTACTCCTGGTGAAGATGACTGTTGAAATGACAACAAAGGATTTAGAATATTACATAAATTTAGTTGATAAAGCAGCAACAGGGTTTGACAGGATTGATTCCCATTCTGAAAGAAGTTCTACTGAGGTTCAAATGCTATCAAACAGCTCTGCATACCACAGAGAAATCGTTTATGAAAGGAAGAGTCAATCCATGCAGCAAACTTAATTGTCTTATTTTAAGAAACTGCCCCAGCCACCCCAGCCTTCAGTAATCACCACCCTGAGCAGTTGGCAGTCATCAACATCGAGGCAAAACCCTCCACCAGCAAAAAGATTACAACTCGCTGAAGGCTCAGAGGAATGTTAGCATTTTTAAATTAAGGTATGCACATTGTTTTTTTAAGACAATGTTATCGCACACTTCACAGACTACAGTATAGTGTAAACATAACTGTTATATGCACTGGGAAACCAAAAATTTGTGTGTCACTTTATTGCATTATTTGCTTTATTGTGGTGGTCTGTAACTGAACATGCAGTATCTCTGAGGTATGTCTATAAATGCCCTCTCTTTCTAAAGGTGAAGAAAAGACATAATCTATCTAAGTTAGTTATCTAGTAAGCTGCTTTCCTAGCTACAGAAACTGGATGAACTCAATCACATGTCTCTAAAACTCTTAACTGATGAAATGTCTATAAACACTATTTTAGAATTATTTAAGGATTAGCTCTTTACTTTTTGAAAGGACCCACACAGACCTGAAACATACCTCTTTCAACCAAGAATATATATCAATTATATATATATATGTATATATATAAATTATATTCGTGTGTATGTGTATATAAGAATTGATACATATAATCTTGCTTTATCGCAGTGGTCTAGAACCAAACCCACAATATTTCTGAGGTATGCCTGTAAAATGTAAACTGAAAAAAATTAGTAACTACTCATCTATATTAGCAACAACAAAACACATTAAAAGTAATAACTAATTAGTCACAACATACTTCTCTCATCACAAATAATCAGAGAGGACCAAGTAATCCATGAACCGAAGGACCACCCTCAGGACAGACTTGGACATCAATCTAGGATAGAGTCTACCACCTTGACGGTTACTTAACTAGGAAGACTCTTTATCAGGAGATAGAAAAGATGTTTAATGTATATTAGGAGATTCTACAGAACTACCTGTAGTTCAAGCTGAGTTTCATAATAAAATTTGCCTGTAAGGTTATTCATGTTTTAAGAAACAACAACAATAATAATGCTACCATTTATATAAATTACCAATGTTATTACTTACTGAGTGCTTACCATGAGCAGGCCCCACACTAAGCAATTTATATACACTATACCATAAAATCCTTTCAATAACATAGTGAGATACTTTTAAAAAATTATATATATTTTTTAAAAATTTAAACAAACTTTAAATTAACAAACAATAAAGTAGGAGACTAAACTTACTTCATCTGGCTAAGTCCAAGCTCCTAACTGCTACCCTGTCACTGACATAATATAAGGTCTTTTAGTAATGAATTAAATAGGGGAGTAAAAGGTAGGAAAATATAAATTGCAAAGTTACAATACATAATCTTCCTGGTAAAAGATGAACATCATTCATGCAGTTGATAGGGTATAATACCAGTAACAAAATCAGGAATGGAAATGATTTTTGGAATACATATATATATGTATATATATACACACACACATATATATATAAAACATGGATTTTATTCTTGTGAAAGTAGTAGCCAGACTGCAAAAAGTGGCTAAGTTTCTAGAAAAGAGATACTTTCCAAAGATGAACATCTATTACCAACTGCTCAAAGGAATTAAAAATAAACCAAACATCCTAACTGAAAAAAACTTTTAATTATCATTTATACTTTTTTAAAAAATAACTTTTTAAAGACCCCATATTATTCAGCAATAATTAAACTGACACAAATTAATATATTTAGTAACAAAACTAATAAATAAAAATTAGCTAAAATTTTAAAAAGGCAGTTGGAAAATAGAAAAAGGAAAACAAAAAAGCTACAGTATTCTAATAAGGCAATGTTGCCAGAATAATTACAATTCTTTCCAAAACACATTTAAAATATATTTCTTCTAAAAGGAAAAAGATGTTTTATATTTGCTGATTGTATCATCTTTTAACTCTTGGTCATAGTTCATTCACAATAATATGGGGTTTTCTTCACTATCAATATGTCACAGAATATTTCAGACTCATAGCAAATCATGAAATTATATTTGTGAATTCCTGGCCATGAAGGAAACCCTAAAAAATGACCTAGTTCACCTATATCATCTCACTGTCAAATCAACCCTTACAGCATCAGAATCTATCCCATTTTTCAGGAGGGGAAATCACACACCAAGATCAACTGATGGGAAGAGCTCACTCTTTTACTCTGCACTTCATACCTGTGCAGCCATCTCAGAAGGGGTAAGCCCAACTGCACACAACAGACTGATATTCATACCTGTTTATATGCTGTGATACTTGTTGAACTAAAAACCTTCTGGGACTGGCAAGGACCAGAGCTACTATAGCAATAGCTCCCACAGTTCTCACAACAGTTCATGGTAAGGTTGTTGGTAGAATGAAATTTTGAAAAACAGGCATCACTACAAAGACCATGTAGCACATTTTGATATTTAACTTCAAATCGAATCTAGGAAATAAAAACACATACAGATACAAAATAAGCAAAGCCGGTTAAAAACATCTAATCTGTGAAGAGAATCCCAATAAAGGTGAAATTCAACTTACATCAGCATTCTTCTGACACATACTGCACCTAGTTGAAATGCTATTGGTATATATGGTAACAACAGGTTTTTTCTTTAGCTCATAAGAAGAAAGGCATGATTGGCTGCAGAAATCTTTGCTAGGAGAGGAATTTTCAAATCGGGTTGTGATCACATCCTTTGGATTTAAAATGTCTCTAAAAATAAATAACAAAGGCAAAATGAAATGTGTTCTTCGTAATTGTAATTTCTTCCTCTTTGTGAGCTAAAATAACTACATTTAGTAAGGGCAGCTATTGTATAGTAGTAAATGGGTAGCCCTGGAAAAGGCATCTGGAAAACTGGGTTTGATGATTAGTTCTATTACTTATCATCTGAGTGACAATGAGTGAGGCAATTACTGTCTCAATTTCCTCATGTATAAAACGGAGTTTATAATACTGAATTCATAGATGTGTTGAAGGAGAGCTACATTTAAAATATATCTAGCCAGATGCTCATGAAAAAAACATTGAGGCTTCCAGCTCCAACCAACTTTCATCCACTGGAGCCAACAGAACAAGTGGCCATCCCACAACTCCAGACCACAAAACACTTGTCCTCTTACTAGCCAGTAGCTGCCAAGAGTAGAAACATGAATGAAATAAGGAATGAAAAAACTTTTTATTTAAATGTAAGATTTGGGAAACAGATGAACTACCAAAGATTAGCATTAAAAATTAGCATGGTATGTAAATCTTCACTATAACTGAAGAGACCAAAGAAACAAATGACAGACAAAAGCGCTATTAAGGCTTGGTATCAAAGGACAGATGGAAACAAGAATGAAACAAAAAGAATACAAATAACTGAGTTGTTCTATGAGACTTGTAGAGTTATTCTGTAAGAGCTAATTGTTACAATAAGCACTGCCAGTAAAAACAGAGACTAAGTTATTGCCATTCTTCTGACAAGTATAAAAACTGAAGGAAATAGTCATTAATTAGAAACACTAGTTTCTAATTAATGACCACACAGTAAAGAAAATTAATGGCAATAATATTATGTACTACAATAATGTACTGGGTAATTTCTATGTGCCACACATTGGTCTCTTTACTCAAATTATCCAATTTAATTATCAAAAAACTCTGTAAGGTAAGTATTATTAGGACACCAAATCAGAAAGGTTAAATAATGACTTGCCAAAGTCATTCAGCTGGTAAGCAGTGAAGCCAGAATACAAATCAAGGCAGTCTGATTCTACAGTCCATGGACTTCATCATTCCACTACTCTGCCTTCCATCCTGTACCTTTATTATACAGAACTCCATGGTAAACTACAAAAGAATAACAACAGCAACAGGGACTTCCCTGGTGGTCCAGTGGTTAAGACTCCGTGCTCCCAATGCAGGGGGCTCAGGTTTGATCCCTGGTCAGGGAACTAAGATCCCGCATGCTAAGATCCTGCATGCCGCACCACACAGCCAAAATAAAAAAAAATTAAAAATATAAAAAAACAGCAATAGAGCACTACTTTAATGTTCTAAAACTCACCTAGCCTTACTAATATGACAGTGAATCTTGGAAACCAAGTGGATATGCCTACATGCAGATGAAGTATTAATTTTGAAAAGTAATTTTTCTACTAAAATCAAAGCAATTAAGAATTTTATTTAATAATGTAAATCTGCCAGTGCTATGTATATATAAGTAAACCAATGAGAATGACTTTTTAATGAAAATCTGTGCACATAAATATAAATGCATTCTAAACTTTATACATCCAAATATATGTTACATCTTAACATTCACCTTAGAGAAACCATACCTCTCCCAACAACATGGCTCAAACATTTTTTCTAATTTCTCTTTTAGTTTACAAGAACTCTAAGCACAACTTTTTAATCTTATAGTCAGAGACCATGTTTAACAGTATGACTCAGTTTAATCATCTACAGCAGTCAGCTGGTAAGACATCAAGTAACTTTTGGCAATGTGCAAAAATCAAACCCCAGCTTGAAAGATAGATTTATCACCTAACTTAGTCTAAAGGAATGTTTCACAGCCTCTGAAGGCAATGCAAAATCAAGAGACAAAAAAAAATTTTGAATAACAACAGCATTGTGGTAAAAAGCCAATGACAAGAGTCTCTACTTTTAAGAGAACATGTATTTGGATGTATAGGCAGTGTTATGTTCTTTAAAATTTAATTAATTTCCTTTTGATATTTGATATGCTGAGATTGAATATCTAAAAACAAAAAACTAAATTTACTCTTCCAGATCAGTTTCATGAGAATGACATAAAAGAGTTAAAGTAAGGTATTAGAGGGGCATTTTGGAACAAAACTAAATTTGAATATTTAAGTAAAATGTTTTAAATGCCTCTTTCCTTTTAGTTGGGGATTTCCATTTTAACAGGATCTACTTTTAGATACCTAAGGCCAACACACCAAGCAGATAAAGAAACTATCATATATCACCAAAGACAAAATAGAGGCCTATAAATTATATGTTAAATATACATAATACCAAATTTATTATTAAAAATAATAGGATCCCACTTATTAAGCATTTGCTATGTGCTAGGTCCTGTGCCAACACTGTCTCATTAAAACCTGAGGAAGTAGATACTATTTACCAATGAAGAAACTAAGGCTTAGAAAGGTTAAATATCTGGCCCAAGGTCATATAGCTGGCAAGTGACAGAGCTACAATCTAAAACCAAGCTCTTAACTTTCCTTGCGCTACATTAGTGACTACTGACAACACACTGTATTCCTAGAATTGCACTACCACACAAATAGGTAAAACGTGCCAAATTCTTCAAACTTACTGAGGTAGAGAAAGAAGTTTATATAACTTCATTGCTATTTCTTCCTCTCTCTGCATCTATGCATTATTATAAAGTAACAATGACCCCCAACAAAAGCTCACAAGGACTTTTCAGGAATAAATGCATTATTTTTGTGGCCATTTACCTTCTAAAGAATTAAATAACTTTCATATACTATTATACGGGTGATATTATTTCATTCTATACTTCAATAACATTCAAGATAACAATTTTGAATATTGTTGTCTACAATTACAGTAGACGTACAATATAGGAGTGGTCCTATAGTTTCTCACAAATAATTTATTTCTTTCTAATTGAAAGAGATAGGAAAACTGGTCTAAACAATACTTTTTTACATCAAGTCACTTACTTAACTTTACAAAACTTTAGAATTTGCAAACTTCTCAATTAGCTAAAAAGTATTTCCAGGGAAATGAGCTAAAGAGATTTAAAATAGCAATAGCATATTTGAACTAAAAACACTTAAAAAGTAAGGGATATAATTAAGAATTTCATACTTTGAGCAGTTTGCACAGGTTTTCTTGGGAGGAGGTGGTAGGCAGACAGGTGAAGAATATCCGATGATGCACCTTGTGGAGCAAAAGAGCTGAGTAGATCCTGTCTTATGAAATGCAGTTTGCCCCTTATAAAGCATTTTTTTGCAACCAGAACAAAAAACCTGAATAGCTACGGCTGGAACTGAAGGAAGCGATATATTTGGGCCAGATGATGCAAGAGAGAGCTGAAAGCCTGGGGTCAACTGTTGGGCTATAAAAACAAAATAAGAAAAAACAACAACAACAAAAGCTGTTTTCACATCAACATGAACATATATACATTCTCTATTTTTTAGGACAAATTCCCTCAGTCTTGAAATCCAATATTGAGGCAATAACCACTCTAAAACAGGCAGCTTCAAACTTTTTAACCATGACACATAGTTAGAACTACATTTCACATTATAACCCAAGAGACACACACATACATCTGTATGTGCATGTGTGTGTATATGTATATAAAATTTAATAACTGAAACAGTAGTTTCATGAAATAATATGCTTCCTTACTGTATGCACCACACTCTGATATACAGTTGACCCTTAAACAACTCAGAGGTTAGGGACGCCGACCCCACGCAGTCAAAAATCCGTGTCCTGCTATCTCTGTCTCAAAAACTAAAGAATTGATAAATGACTCATCCAAGGGCAGGAAGCTGAAACAGTCTGGATAGAATCAGGACTCAAACCCTAGTTCTTCTGATTCCACATATTGTGATCTCCAATAGAACATAAAAATGTCCCCACACTTAGTTAATTTACAGATCTGTGGAATAAAAATACAGGTACTATATTTATTGAAAAAATCACCTGTAAGTGGAACTGCGTAGTTCAAACCCATGTTGTTCAAGGACCAACTGTAATTATATTCCACTTTTTAAAATACTGGTCAAGACCAGCTAGCCAGTTTGAAAAGCACTGCTTTGTCTAAAGGAAGAAAAAGACTTACATGAGGTACTTTCCCTCAATTCTACTGGTCAGAATATAACAAATACTGATTCTAACTAACTTACAGTTCTGTTTCTTACCAAGAGGACTGTCACTGACTGAAAAGACAGCACTAATTTTCAGTTCACTTTCTTGAGTTTTTGGCTTTGAAGCATGTACATATTCCTTAAAGAAAAAAAGAAGAGAGGGAGAAATGAATACAGTGTTAGTACTGAGGAAACTAGAAATTCAAACAAAAAAATAACTGTCATATTCATCTCTTCTACATTATAGTCGTAATCGCCTTCAAATACCTCAAAAGTCAAAATTTACAAGTTATTAGACTAGATTTAATCTTTTTCTTTCTTTTTTTTTTGGCTGCGTTGGGTCTTCGTTGCTGCGTGCGGGCTTTTTCTAGTTGCGGCGAGCGTGAGCTACTCTTCGTTGCGGTGGGCAGGCTTCTCATTGAGATGGCTTCTCTTGTTGCAGAGCACAGGCTCTAGGTGCACAGGCTTCAGTAGTTGTAGCACACAGGCTCAGTAGTTGTGGCTCGTGGGCTGTAGAGCACAGGCTCAGCAGTTGTGGCACACAGGCTTAGCTGCTCCGCAGTATGTGTGATCTTCCCAGACCAGGGCTCAAACCTGTGTGCCCTGCATTGGCAGGCGGATTCTTAACCACTGCACCACCAGGGAAGCCCTAGACTTAATCTTTACAAAAAGGATCTTTAGAACTGAAGAATCTTTTATGATAGTTATATCTACTTCTCAAATGTAATCTTGTTATATGGGAGTAATACACAGCTATTTCAATGCTGAGCACTACCCCTTTTATAGGCTGCGTTTACAACGGAGCAATAAATGAAATTAAATCTGAATGATTTAGAGTTTGGATCAAATTAGTAATTTTAGCCAACAGATTTGCAAGTGGCATATCTCTTAATGTCAGAAGACACGAGTTTCAATGCAATCTGCTCATTATACAAAAAATCAACACAGCCTAAATCAGGTTTATCTTTAATGTATTCTTCAAAATGCTTTAAAATGACACGTAATCATGAAAGAAATTAAAATACATATATCTAACTTAAAAAAAGAGTGCCCTTTATTCTGAGATCAGAACTACCCTACATTTTGGAGCGGCGGGGGGGGGTGGGGTTGTTAAAACAGCCTTACGTATTTCAAATAAAGTTTATTTATTTTTTTAAAAGACAGTGTTCTTTTTTTTTAGTTATAGTATTTTATTTATTTGTGACTGCGTTGGGTCTTCGTTGCTGTGCGCAGGCTTTCTCTAGTTGTGGCGAGTGGAAGCTACTCTTCGTTGCAATGAGCAGGCTTCTCATTGCGGTGGCTTCTCTTGTTACAGAGCATGGGCTCTAGGCGCGTGGGCTTCAGTAGTTGTGGCTCGCGGGCTCTGTAGTTGTGGTGCATGGGCTCAGTAGTTGTGGCATGCGGGCTTCAGTAATTGTGGTGCACGGGCTTAGCTGCTTCATGGCATGTGGGATCTTCCCGGACCAGGGCTCGAACCCGTGTGGCCTGCACTGGCAGGTGGATTCTTAACCACTGCGCCACCAGGGAAGCCCTCAAAGTTTTTTTTTTTTTGCGGTACGCAGGCCTCTCACTGTTGTGGCCTCTCCCGTTGCGGAGCACAGGCTCCAGATGTGCAGGCTCAGCGGCCATGGCTCACAGGCCTAGCTGCTCTGCGGCATGTGGGATCTTCCCGGACCGGGGCACAAACCCGTGTCCCCTGCATCGGCAGGTGGACTCTCAACCACTGCGCCACCAGGGAAGCCCGCCCTCAAAGTTTTTTGAAACAATGGTGATAATAAATGGTAGTTGTATTTTTAATCTCCCTGTACTTAGCAAAATAAATGACAAATGTATCAGTTCCCAAAGTTACTTTGGAATTTCTTTGGAACATTAAATGCCAAAGATTAAGAACCACTGCATTAATTTACCACTTCCCATGATGTACATTATGGCACCAAACAAACTGCTGCCTGTAAGGTAAGAATTATTGAACCTCCTTTATGGATGAGGAAAGTGAGGCTTAGAGATGTTCATCAACTTGTCCAAGGTCACAAAGATACTAAGTGCACAGATGGGAATCAAACCCAGGTCTCTCTGTTTCAAAATCCATGCTGTCTCCCTCCTAAATGTACAAATACAATATAACATAATTACTATAATGAATTCAAACCCTGGTCCCCAATGGAAATTAAGTTCCCCTGTTGTAGCTTCTCCCATCTCCTTTCACTCACAGCACTTGCCATAATACATCATATCATATTTATTTGGGTGATAATCTGTTTAATGTCTAACACCCCTCCTCCTCCCCCACACATACACTAGACCAAAAGGACCATGTCCACTAGGGACAGGGACCATATCTGTTTTTCCACCTCTGTACATTCAACACCCAGCACAGTCAACATAACAAAGAAGACTATGGGTTCCAGGAGCAGACAGAAACAGGTGTGATCCTGGTTCTTTTTTTTTTTTTTTTTTTTTTGCAGTGGCGTGGCCGGGCACCAACACAACTTGATACATTTGACTGTATAGGACAATGGTTACAGAACACAAAGATTCAGAAAGACCCACTGCTTGGGCCCAACAAAAGACAATATTCACCCTCTGAATTCATAGTCCTCGGGGCTGCAAGGAGGACAGGCTTTTTCCTACATGCCTCTGGTAGAAGGTCCATGACAGTACTCAGTAGAGCCACATCTGAGCCTAGCTGTATGTGGTGGGTGGATAAGACAGGACAGCCTCATTTCAGTTACTTGGGTGCGACCCTGAAGACACAGATGTGGATGGCTGAGTTGTTGTAGATCTGGGTCAGCAGTGCTCACGTGTAAGTCTCTGGTTCCAGCTCAACGACAAGCTCCACAGTGGAGGTACTGGCACCACCTGCAGGGACCTGAAGCTGCCAGCCGGAAGCTGTAGGGCAATGTTGATGGTGCAGTTGATGGCCAGTGCATGTAGATCTCAGTGCATGAGTTCTGACCCCATGCCCATCCGTCCAGCAGTTTCTGGCAGTGGGCCAGCTGGGCCTTAACGTCAGTCTTCATGTTGACAGAAATGTCATTGGGCTTCCGGTGCAGGCAGTGGGGAAGCCGCTTCCAAGGGGTGTACTAAACCGGGTCCAGCTCAGCCTCGACGGCCCCACGGGCCTCTCGATTTTCAGCCATGCTGTGTGCCTCCCTCCGGTCCACAGTGTCCTCCACGCGCATGTGGCCCACTCCCCTGCCAGGCCACTCAAGCATTGCGCCAACCAGCCAGAATACAGAATGCTGCCCATGACCCCAAGGCCCCAAGAAGGAGAGAAAAGGAAAGGGGTATGCCGCAGGAAGGCCAGAACACTAGCGATCCCGGTTCTTAAACAAGTTACTTAATCTTTCTCAGTTTCAACTTCCTTATCTATAAAGATAATATTATCTAACCCACTGGACTAGATTTATGGGGGATAAATGATTTAATACAAATAAAGTATGTAGTGTGATGCCTTACAGTTAGCCAGAAGTTAAACATGATTTAAGAACAAAAATGCTAGCTCTTACTCTTTTCATAATTATGACATTGAATAAATATTTGTTGAATGAATGAATCTAAGTTAATTCAATTCAAAGTGGACATTCAAGTTCATTCAATTCAAATGTTCTTAAACATTATACTCAAATAACAATATTTACTTATTGGCACTTGCAAAAAGAGGAGGAAGTTAAAAGTACCTATATACACCTCCTTCAACTTACCAAAAAGAACACTTAAGACTCAATAAAAAATTGTCTTACCATCAATTCAATCTCTAGTATTTTTCTAATATGCCTGTTACATTTCCCTAGTCAGTTTCTTTTACTTCATAAAGTAACTGTTCCACACCTCCATCACTCATAAGTCCCAACCCCACATACTTCCTGCTCAGTAACGTTTCTATTTCACCAAGAAAATAGAAGCAGCTAAGTAAGAATTCCTGCAACATTCTGATTCCCCCCCCTCCACCATGCCTACAAACTGATCAGCAAGCTGTCCTTGAACCTTACAGGAAAAGGCAACCTTCTCAGTCATGACTAAAACAGCGCTTATGTTCAGGATCTCTTTCCCTTTCCCTTCTTACAGCACTTCATACTGTCTTTGTGTATCCTCAGCCTCTCTCTACCTTGTCAACTAAAAGCAGCATGAACTGTAAAGAGGCAAAAAGGTAGTTTATTTAGGTTCTTAGAATTGTAATTCAGGGATCACAGATTCTGGAAGAACCCAGAATAGTGTCCCAGTGGAGGAAAATGGGTAGAGGTTTTTATGGGGAAAAGGAGGAAGCTCACACAGGCTTACACAAGCTGTTTACCAAGAATTTGGATTGGACGATAAAACTGTTCTGTTCATACGATTGGGTTATCAAGCACGTCTCATCCATTACTAGGGAAAGGTATGGTTTCCTTAGTCCAGAAAGAGTCCAGTTCTCAGCATTGTTCTTTCCTTTTGGCAACTCAGCAACTATTCAGCAGTTTTATGTTAGAGAGTTCAGCAAAAGTTCAGCATGGGCAGCAAATGTGGAGATCCTCAAGACAGTCTCAGTCATTCTTGCCTTTGTTCCTTTCACAACCTCCATATAGGTTTCTTCCCTTCGGCTTACAAGGAACCTATTCCCTAAGGAACTACTGCCCTCTCTTCTCTCTCCCTTTACAACCGAGCTTAGAGAAAAAGTATTCCATTCTTTCTCTACTTCCTCACTTTGATTCCCTCCTGAACACAATGCAATCAGGCTACTGCTTCAACTGAAGGTGTTTTAAGATAACCAATCATCTCACTATTGTATAATTCAACAAACAATTTTAGGTTTTATCTTACTTGGCTTCTCAGATACATCTGACACTGCCAATGATTCCACTGGTTGTCTTCGGATTATGTTATTACTTCAATTCATCATTACTATTTCTTAGTATCCTTCATTGATCTTATATTCACCCCTGAAGTCAATGGTTCCAAATTCAGTGGCATCAGAAGCCCCTAAAAGTCTTATTAAGACATAGAGTGTTGGGTTTCAGCCTCAGAATTTCTGATTCAGCAGGTCTGGAGCAGGGCCCAAGAATATACGTTTCTAACAAGTTCCCAGGTAATGGTGAGGCTGCTGCTTGAGGGACTACTTTGAAGCCATTTTGAAGCACTAAATTAATCTAGTTCCCAGCTTTCTATCCTGAGCTCTACTCTCTTTTCTCTACTTTTGTTCCCTGAACAATCTCATCCACCTTCATGACTTCAACTATCACCTATATAGGGTCATCAGATATAGCAAATAAAAATATAAAATGACCAGTTAAATTTGAATTTCAAATAAACAACAAATAATTCTTTAGTATAAGTAAGTCCCAAACATTGCATGCAACATACTTATATGAAAAAATATTCATTGCTCATTTGGTAATCAAATTTAACTGAGCATTCTACATTTTTATCTGGCAACACTATACCTACAGGTAGATAACTCTCTAATCTCTAAATACCACATCCATATGGGCAAATGCCTCCCAGTGCAAATTACCACTTGAATGTCCCACGAGCCCCTTAACACAACAGATTCCAATACTTATTACTTCCCCCCAAATCCTGTTCCTAGCCCCTCAGTAAATGGTATTGTCACAAACTCAACTTACTGAAGCCAGAAACCTCTTGAGTATTCCTGGATCCTCCTTGACCCTCATACTTCATTTGCTATCTCTAAGTTGGATCAATTCTACCTGAACATCTAAAATCTATTCTCTTCTCCCACTTTACTATTGAAATACTCAACCACTAAACACACCACATTCTCTCACCCCTCCATGACTTGGCACATGCTCTTCTCTGTCTGAAGATCTTCATCAATTGCTGTAACTCAAGCGCTACCCACCCTGTGAAGCCTTCCTCTCCTCCCTAGACAGACATAAGGGATCCTTTCCCTGTGCTCCCAATGCACCTTATACAATATTTAAAATTACAGTAATTACATAATACTGTGATTTTATATCTGTATAGCAGTGGTACAAAGCAACAGAAAGAATATATGCTTGAAGCCAGTCAAAACTAAGTTCCTATTCTAGCTCTGATGCTTCCTTTGAGTTTGTAAGTTACTTAACCTGTCCTTCCCTCAATTCCCTCCTATGTTTGTAGAGTTTAAATGAGAATAGGTAAGACATACGTAGCATACCTTCTGGCAGGGAGAAGTCACCCAGCAAATAATTACCTCTCCCATTTCCATACCTTTATTCCCCCTTACACTATCAATTCTCTTGAGAGCAGAGGCCCTATCTTTTCATCTTTGTAGCTCCTCTGAAAACAAAATAACTAACAAAGCTTAGCATCCTAGTTAAGGGTTTGGGCTCTTGAACCAGACTGCCTGGGTTCAAATGCTAACTCACCCATTTACTAGTTGTGTTACAGTTTAGCAAGTTACCATCTGTGTCTCTGTATCCTTGTATGTAAAGTGGGAATAATAACATACTTAACTCGTAGGGTTGTAAGCGTCACATGTAAACTGCTTACAATGGTGTTCAACAAGTGCTTTAGGTTATATAAACAGGAATAAAAGTCACTGAACGACTGAATGAGAGCTCAACTATAGCTTTAATATCCAGAACAGACCCTTAGTATATCATAAAATACTCAACTTTTCAATTTTTTGTCTCCTATTTTCCAATATTCAAATATGACATGAAAAATTGCACATACTATTTGTTCAATTGGCTTTTCCACCATAGGTCACACTCTCAATCATGAAAAATTATAGCCTATTCACCTTGAAGTATTAATATAAACCAAAAGGAACTAAGTAGGTCCCTATCCACTTAAACTTACAATGTAAGCTGTTAACGGGATTTTCATTATCACAATTTTTATACAGAAAGAATACTCAATTAACTCACAGTACAATATTTCTTAAATTTTTATACTACAGGCAAGGTATGATGAAAGAAATATTGGATCTGGAATTTTAAAAAACTGGTTTTGTATCCCAGCTTTGCCATGAGACCTTGGTGAAGTCACTTATTCCTTCAGGCTCAGTTTCCTCATCTGTGAAACACAGCCTCTTTTATTTTAATTATTGAGCATGTGCCAGTCATTGTGCAAGGAATTGAGATCAAATAAGACCAGACCCAGGAAACCAAATTCATTGACCTCCAGATGCCATAATAAATGTAAAAGCACTACATGATTTAAAAAAAAAGACAAAAAAAAAAAAGACAGAGAAAGAATGGCTAATTCTACCTGAGTGACAGTTAAACTATATCTTAAAAGAGGAGGAACTTTTTGCCAAGCTAAAGTATCCAGTTTAGGATGCACAGGCAGAAGAAATGGCATGTGCAAAGGCAAGGAAATAAAAATCAACAGAATATACCTTCCTGTGAAATGCAAATAGTTTGCAGGAGCATAGATTAGAAAAGGTGGGAAGCACTATTGGGCATATACCCTGAGAAGACCATAATTCAAAAAGAGTCCATGTACCACAATGTTCATTGCAGCTCTATTTACAATAGCCAGGACATGGAAGCAACCTAAGTGTCCATCAACAGATGAATGGATAAAGAAGATGTGGCACATATATACAATGGAATATTACTCAGCCATAAAAAGAAACGAAATTGAGTTATTTGTAGTGAGGTGGATGGACCTAGAGTCCATCATACAGAGTGAAGTCAGAAAGAGAAAAACAAATACCGTACGCTAACACATATATATGGAATCTAAAAAAAAAAAAAAAAAAGGTTCTGAAGAACTTAGGGGTAGGACAGGAATAAAGACACAGACATAGAGAATGGACTTGAGGACATGGGGAGGGGGAAGGGTAAGTTGGGACGAAGTGAGAGAGTGGCATTGACATATACACATTACCAAATGTAAAACATATAGCTAACGGGAAGCAGCCACATAGCACAGGGAGATCAGCTTGGTGCTTTGTGTCCACCTAGAGGGGTGGGTTAGGGAGGATGGGAGGGAGATGCAAGAGGGAGGAGCTATGGGGATATATGTTTATGTATAGCTGATTCACTTTGTTATACTGTAAAGCAATTATACTCCAATAAAGATGTTAAAAAAAAAAGAAAGAAAAGAAAAGGTGGGAAGGATGAGTGACGACACTGAAGAGGAAAACAAAGGCCTAAACATGGATAGTTCGGATGCCACACTAAAAAGTTTATGTTTTATCCCGCATGAGGAGACAGGGTCTTTAAAGAGAGCAGTGTCATCAGATCTATAAAGAGCACCATAGTGCTCTTTCCCTGTTGCTGGGGAATTGCATGGGAGGTAGAGGCCCCGGTGCATTCAAGATTCGGCTCCACCCATAACCCATTGCTGTGGCCATAACCCACCGCCTTGGTGGAGGAAAGCATTTCCACTGGAGGTGTAATGGACATTAATACTGCTTTACAAGAGGTGCTGAAGACCACCCTCATCCAGGACAGCCTAGCATGTGGGATTCCGAAGCTGCCAAAGCCTTAGACAAGTGCCAATCCCATCTGTGTGCTTGCATCCAATTCTGATGAGCTTATGTCAAGTTGGTAAAGGCCCTTGTGCTGAATGACAAATCAACCTAATTAAGGTTGATGGTAACAAGAAACTAGGGGAATGGGTAGGCCTCTGTAAAACTGACAGACAGGAAAAACCCTGTAAAGCGGATGGTTGCAGTTGTGTGGTGGTTAAGCAAAGAGTCTCAGACCAAGGATGTCATTAAGGAGTACTTCTAATAGAAGAAATGATCAAATTAAAAACTTGGCTCTTGTTCCTCAAAAAAAAAAAAAAAAAGAGTATCACTATACAGAGTTTTGGTGAGATATGTGACTGAAGACATGACGATGAATAGGAAACTGTTATAAAAGTCCAGATGAGAAATAATTAAACAGGGAGGAAAGGGCAAGGTAAAAAAAATTCTTAAAAGGTAGAACCCACAAAACTTGACAAACAAATGGTTACTTCTGGCAAAAGAAGAGAAAGAATTTACCATCTGGAGGGAAAATAAGTGTCATGTATACCACCATCCCGCACCCCACATCCTGTAGACACTACCTCAGAACCCTTCGCAGCACAGCATTTTAGGAAGGCGTGGAGTGGATGAACAAGATAACATCTACTTGACATCCCTGTCCTGGAATGACACTGCCTTTGAGATAATAAGAGAAATAGAGTATTATCACTATTACTTATTTTATTATTTATATTTTCAATATTATTGATTTGCTTATGCAATGAAGCCAATAACTAGAGTATAAAGCAAAAGAACTGTCCATGAAGGAAAAAAAAATCATTTTTTGCCAAAACAACTAACTGGTCTCTCCACACTAATCTCCACAGATTTCCAATCTGGGTCCCTAAAAGGTAGCCATATGATCTTTCCAAACATGTTTATCTTATCCTCCCAAGTAAAACCCTACAATGGCTTCCCAAAGCTCTCAGGAGACCAAAATTCGTAACAAGGTCCACAAGGTTCTGCATAATCTGGCCCCAAACTACCTACACTGCCTCATCCTAGAAGTAGGATAGCATAGGCTCTGAAGTCTGATACCTGGGTTTGAATCCCATCTTTGCTATTTATGAGCTATGATCTGTGGTAAACTGCTTGACCTCTTTGTACTTGGTTTCCTCATCTCTAAAATGGGGATAATAATATGGTTGTGAGAATGGTGCCTGGCACAGTCTAAGTACATATAAGTGTTAATAGTGATAAGTTAGTATTTATAAGATCATGTTATTATGATATAATATACTCTACATATTGACATATTAATATCACTATTAGCGTTGTTATTATGATCATCATTATCATCGTCATCACCATTTTTGCACCTCTTCTGTTCCAGGCCCACTGGTCTTGCAGTCCTTCAAAAGAACCAAGCATCTTCCCAAATCAGAGCTTTCCTGTATGCAGATCACTCTACCTGGAACACTCTCCTCCATGCCTTCACCTAGTCAATTCATTCTTCATAATTTGGCTGACAAATCCTTCTCTAGCCCCCTGCCCCCAATCAAAACTAGGTCAGATTCCCCATTTCAGGCTTTTCTTCCACAGCACTTGTCTTAGTTTGTAATTATATATATCATGTGATCAATTACTTGTGTAATGTCTATCTCCTCTACTAACCTGCAAGCTCTATGAAGGAAGGGACTAAACTGATTTTGCTCACTCCTGGATCCCCAGAGCCTGGCATAGAGTAGACCACAAATACTTACAGAATAAATGGAAACTACTATCAGATACAAGAGAACTTTTTAAAAAGATGGAAAAAGGGTAATACACGTTACTTTCTTCTCACAAAAAGAAATATAATAGAGTTACCAAGATCTTTTTTCATTCAAAGAGCAGAATAGGTGATTTACTCATCTAATGGGGAAAAAATCAGTTTGGGTTACCTTACAAGTCAGAAACTAACTAAAAATTTGAATTCACCAGGTGAAAAAGAAGAAATTTTTTAAATTTTAAAATAAATATGAAATGCTTACTTGAGCATTGTCAGGTTCTTCTTTAATTTTGTCCAGAAGCCCCCGCTGCGGTGCCATTGCTTTGCCACATTCACCATCCAAAGGTTCTTTCATTCTAATTTTTTAGGTAAAGGAATTCCCCGGTCTAAAACTAATAGATTTCTTCTTGGTGATGGATAGTTGGATTCCTAAAACACAACATAAAGGATTGGTACTCAGGCTTTTTTTTTTTCCCCATGTTTATCTATATCAAAAGCTTTGTTTTGAGCACAAGGTTTTAGGGCTAAGCATTTGAAAAAAAAACAACTCTTCTGGGGCCATGACTCTTCTCCTTTCTTCCGGCCTTCTGCTTCTTTGGTAGCTGCCTTCACATAAAGTCTTACAGCAATAGCTCCCACTTCCCTAATAGCTTTAAAGACAAATACTCTGGTCTTTTATATGTTGAAAGTTACTGAGGTAATTAGACTGGCAGACCAACACGTGAGAGAACGTTACCAAGCTCTTAGAAGAAAGGACTCAGAAATACTGTTTCTGAGTCCATGAGAATTAGTACTTGGAGGCCCACCTCAGCTTATATTTCTCAAAATGGGGCACACCAAACTCCCCACCCCCACCTCTAACTCAGCCTTCACTTACAGGCCTCCATAAGGGCCCCAACTCTCGGCTTAAAGATAGATGAGAGCGCAAGTTGCCACCACAAATGAACAGGTATGCCCTTACTTAAAGTGGACCACCTGCAGGGTCTCATGAAGGCCATGCCCAGGAATGAGCCCCTCTGAGATCCGCTTCCCAATCTCCTTCTTGTAAACAAGATTAGTCATTCAGCGGACTTCCCTTCCCCTAAACAGGACGTAGTACACCTGAAGCAAAAAGGAAACTCTCCAAAGTTGTCTTTACCCAAACAGGCAAGCCAGACATGGAAATGGGCAACTGGCTTAATAACCGGTGCGAGGGATGAGAATTTAGGACTACCTGCCACAGTTACAACAATCTATGGGCTCTCGTGTCGTAATCGCTCTCAAAATCTCGTCCCCACCAATAATTCCCACGCCTGTCACAGGGTACAAACGCTGCAACGTTGTATCTTTTGGAGAGAACGCGACCCGCAAATGCCTGTCAGCGTGTTCCTGCAGCGAAACCGCAACGCCCGACTGCGCCGCTTCCGCCCAGCGCCCGCCTCGTCACGTGGCGCGGCCGCCGCCCCGCCCCACGCGGCCCCTCCCGCTGCTACCGACCGCGCTCACCTTCTGGTGGCTTCCCTGCTCCCGGGGAGCACCGACCGGGGAAGGGGGAGTAGAACCCAAGGACCCCACCCTGGGACGAAGATTATTTTCTCTTACGGGGATTTTTCCGCCTAATCCATCGCAACGCAACACCCGGACAACTGCGCGTGCGCAACCCTGGTCTCCGCCCCCTTTCCCATTATGCTCCAGACCTGAGCTGAGTGGATTTCCCAGCATTCCTCTTTCCTCAGTTATGGTTGACTTCTTAAAGAGACCAAAACCCAATGGTGAGAAGATAGAGGAAGAGGTTGGGAGGAAACTAAGGGGCGTAAGATGACGCTGTTAAGTGCCCTGCACCATTCTTTATTGCCCATGTCTGGAAAGGTGACCTGCCAAGAGAACATGAATAAATAATAGCTGATATTTATTAAGCCGAGTGTTTGGTAAACACTTGATATGAATCTTTCCACTTAATGCTCACCACAACTCCAAGAGGTACAATTTTTGTCTGGGAGCTGTAAATGAAGACATCAACTTGTTCAAAGTCAAGATTTGATGTGTTTTCACTCAACATTGTTTTGGAGATACATCTATGATCTGTGAGGCTGTCGTTTATTTGTTTTGACTGCTGTATAGTGTTCCACTTTATGAATGCGCTACAGTTTAACTGTCTACTTCTGATGGACATTTGAGTTATTTCCAATGTTTGGCCATTAGGAATAATAGTGCTGTGAACATTCCTGCCTCTTGTGACACATATTTAAGGTTTATACCTAGCAGTGAAATTGCTTGTTGTGTACATATGAAACTTAAGTGGATAATTTCAAACAACTTTAGAAAGTGGTTGTTTCAGTTTGTACTTCCACCAGCCATTTATAAGAATTCCATTTGCCCCACATCCTTGCCAGTAATTACTACTGTACATCTTTTTAATTTTAACCATTCTGGTGGGAGTATAGTGGTATCTCGTGATTTTACTTTGGATTTCCCAGATTTCTAATGAGGTTGAACCCATTTTCATGTTTTCTGATATGTGGATAGCCTATTTTATGAAGTGCCTGTTCGAGTCTCTTACTCATTTTTGTATTGGACTGTCTGCCATTTTCTTATGGATATAAATTCTGGTGTCCTTTGATGAACATAAAAGACCTTTATGCTTAGTGTTTCTTGTGTCCTGTCAAGAAATATTTTCCTACCAAAGGTTCTGATTGACTTATGGAATTGTTATTACTTTGTCTTTCTCATTTAGATCTACAATCCATCTAAAATTGTATCTTCTGTATGCTGTGAAGTAAGTCAGGTTTCATTTTTCCATGTGAATGTTAAACTGATTAAGTGCTGTTGTTTAAACGTCTGTGCTTTCCCCCACTGTTCTTTATCATCACCTGTATATATATAAGTTGTCATAAATGCGGGTTTGTTTGAAGACTATGTAATCTATTCCTTTTGTCTCTTTTTGTGGAAATATCACACTGTCTTTATTTCTGTAGTAGCTTTATAATAAAACTTGATATCTGGTAGAAAAAGTCCTTTGTCCCATTATGTTCTCCAAGACTGTCTTGGCTTTTCTTGGTCCTTTGCATATTTATATACATTTTAGAATCATCTTGCCAAATGTGACAAAATTTTCCTTATAAATTTTAGAATCAGCAAGGATTTTGTTTGGTATTACACTAAGGCTGTAGACCTGTTTTGGAGAATTGCCATTTGTTATTCACTGTGTTGAATTGTTTCCCCCAAAAAAATATGTTGAAGTCCTAACCCTCAGAATGTGACCTCATTTGGGAATACAGTTGTTGCAGATGTAATTATTTAAGACAAGGTCATATTGGAGCAGGGTTGGCCTTAATCAAGTATGACTGGTGTCCTTATAAGAAGAGATGTAGAGATGGACACATGAAGGGAGAACACCAGTTGACAATTGGGGCAGAGATTGAAGTGCTGCAACTGCAAGCCAAGGAATGTCAAGGATTGGTGTTAAACACAAGAAACTAGAAGAGGTAAGGAAAGATTCTCCCATACAGATTTCAAAGAGAGAATGGCCCTACTGAAACCTTGATTTTAGCCTTCAAGCCTCCCGAACTATGAGACAATAAATTTTTATTAGTAACACTTTATGACAGCAGGCCCAGGAAACTAAGATAGCATTATATAGGGTTGACTCCTCCAATCCATGAAAATGGTATATCTCTCCGTTTATTTAAATGCCTGTAATTTAATAATGTTTTGTAGTTTTTAAGTATAGAGAGCTAACATCCTTTTAAGATGTTTTTCTGGATCTTTGATATTTTATGCCATTTTAAATGGTAAAATTTCATTTTCTAATAGTTCATTTCAATTGTAGAACTACAATTGACTTTTGTATGTTGGTCTTGAAGCCAGCACAATTGCTAAATTCATTTATTAATTCTAACAGTTTATCTATATATTTTTAAAAAATTTTTTAGTTTTCCAACTATGTAGAGAATAATGACAAATCATCTCTTCCTTTCCAAGCAGATAACTTTTATTTATTTAATTTTCTTGCCTTATTGTGCTGGCTAAAACCTCTAGCAATGTGTTAAATGGAAATAGTGACATTGGGCATCTGTATCTTCTTCCTGCTATGTTGCTTTCAACATAAAATCATTAAATACTATATTTGCTTTGGAATTTTTGCAGTCACCTGTGGGGGGTTAAATATGTTGTATTGTTTGCAACTCCTCCCATCAAGAAAGGGAGTCTATTTCCCTACCCCTTGTTTCTGGGCTGGGCCTTGTGAATTATCTTGACTTATAGAGTATTACAGAACCGATGTCATGTGAATTCTCAAGCATAGGCCTTATAGTCCTCGCAGCTTCTGGTTTTTCTTTTGGCTGCATTGGGTCTTTGTTGCTGCACATGAGCTTTCTCTAGTTGTAGCAAGTGGGAGCTACTCTTTGTTGCAGTGTGCGGGCTTCTCACTGAGGTGGTTTCTCTTGTTGTGGAGCACAGGCTCTAGGCCTGCGGGCTTCAGTAGTTGTGGCACGCAGCCTCAGTAGTCGTGGCTCGTGGGCTGTAGAATGCAGACTCAGTAGTTGTGGCACACAGGTTTAGTTGCTCCATGGCACGTGGGATCTTCCCGGACCAGGGCTCAAACCTGTGTCCCCTGCATTGGCAGGCGGATTCTTAACCATTGTGCCACCAGGGAAGTCCCACATCTTCTGCTTTTACTTTCTTGGAACATTCCTACAACATATTAAAGTTAGATGGGTTAAACTACTGAATGATGAAAAGTCATGCAAAGAGTGGCCCCATGGCCAGCACCAAGGCCCCATACCTGTGAGTGGAACCATCTTAGATCCCCCAGGTTGCTAGCTGACTGCAGCTTCATGAGCAAGCTCAGGCAGAAGAATTGCCTAACTAAGCCCAAATTGTAGAATCACAAGTAAGTAAGTGGTTTTTGTTTTAAGTAAGTAACTTCTGGGGTGCTTTGTTATTTAGCAATAGGTATCTGTTCCAGAATTAATATCTAGAAGTGGAGTACTGCCAATCCTAAAACCTAAAACATACAACATTGGCTTTGGGACCAGGCAGCAGGCAGGGTCTGGAAAGACAGCAAGGAAACTCTTAGTGGAGTTTGGAAGAGCAGTCAAGAAATTGTTATTGGAGGCTAGAAAAAGACTAACCAGTGTTATGTAGTGACAAAATGTTTGGCAGTGCTGCCACCTGTACTAACTTAGAAGATAGAAAATGTACTTAATGAACTTGTGGACCTAGATTAGGGGATTTCCAGAAAGAATACTAAAAGTGCCTATTGATTTATTTTAACCATCTGTGATAAGCTATTGTAAAAGAGAAATAAGCTAAAGAAGGAACGATTTTGTTTTCAAGCAGAGATTAGACAAAATATAAAGGGTCCAGGACAGTCTCTCCAGCTAGCACAATATCATCAAAATAAGAAATGGCGGGGGACTTCCCTGGTGGTCCAGTGGCTAAGACTCTGTGCTCCCAATGTAGGGGGCCTGGGTTCAATCCCGGGTCAGGGAACTAGATCCCACATGCCGCAACTAAGAGTTGGCGTGGGCTTCCCTGGTGGTGCAGTGGTTAAGAATCCACCTGCCAATGCAGGGGACACGGGTTCGAGCCCTGGTCTGGGAAGATCCCACATGCCACGGGGCAACTGGGCCCGTGAGCCACGACTACTGAGCCTGCACGTCTGGAGCCTGTGCTCCTCAACAAGAGAGGCCGCGACAGTGAGAGGCCCATGCACCACGATGAAGAGTGGCCCCCACTCGCCGCAACTAGAGAAAGCCCTCGCACAGAAACGAAGACCCAACACAGCCATAAATAAATAAATAAATAAATAAATAGATTGGGCGTATCTCGTAAGTGGCTCTCACAGAATGGGTTTCTTTTTTAAAAAATTTTAATAGCTTTATTAAGATATAATTCACAAAAAAAAAGATATAATTCACATACCATACAATATACCCATTTAAAGTGTACAATTCGGGACTTCCCTAGCAGTCCAGTGGTTAAGACTTTGTGCTTCCACTACAGGGGGCACAAGTTCGATCCCTGGTCAGGGAAGTAAGATCCCACATGCCACATGGCACAGCCAAATAAATAAATAAATAAATAAATAAAAATGTACAATTCGATGGATTTTGTGTATTCACAAAATTGTGCGACCATTACCACAATCAACATCAGAACATTTTCATCACCCCAAAAAGAAACCCTGTATCTATTAGCCATCACTCCTCATTTCCTCCCAACTCCTAGGCAACTACCAGTCTACTTTATTTCTCTATAGATTTGCCTATTCTAAACATTTTTTATAAATAGAATCATACAACATGTGGTCTTTTGTGACTGACTTCTTTCACTTAGCATGTTTTCAAGGTTCATCCACATTTCAGCATGTATCAGTATTTTATTCTTATTGCCAATTAATATGGATGGATTACC